TAGCGGTTTTTTCCCGGTCAAGCCAGGGCCAACACTCTAGCCGAGCAGAATAGCAATTCCCCCACCTCACCCCAACACAATCTCGGAGAAGCAACAACCGCCCATGCACACCACGAGCCCAGCAACAGTGGCTTTTGCCTGGCCAAGCCACAACCGGTACTCTAGCTGAGTAGAACAACAATCCCCCCGCCCCACTGATGCCATCACCACCGGCACGGTGCCGGCGGCACAAGGGACTCGCCTAAGGGTACCGACGCCATGGGGGCAATTGGCGGCGGGTGGCCCCGACGCAACACTTCCATACCCCAGGGGTGTCACATCACAATGTGATGATCACATGCCAGCCAATCGAATGTACTGGGCTTGGGAACGCTTTGGGCGTACATTTTGCCTGCGTGACGGACAACAACGATTTGAAGGGGCACATTGATGTGCCACGGTGGCGAGCAGTGTGCATTGCCAAATCCATCAAAGACCTAGGCAATCACGCCCCACGTCCGCCATGCATACCCATTGCGCACTCAACCAGGTGTTTGGCCGTCCGGTCTTGGAATGGGACCCGCTTTTCAGCTGTTATCCGTCACCTTTACCAAAGTATAGGCTTTTGGGATTGCCCGTCTTACAGAATTTCAATGGAATGGCGTTGGAATTTCTGTACCGGTGTTCAGTACGTTTGATAGGTCTGTGTTGCTATGTAAACTTTGATGGAATTCTGTCGACCTCTGTAGTCCGGTCAGCAGTTCTGTTATGGGGGCCTATCATCCGTAGATGGCGGCGCAGATTCTGTAACACGTGGTTCCATTCTGGAAGGCTGTGTGGATATCTGTAGTTATTCATGGTGACGTCAATATGGCCCCGCCCGTTTCTATAAAACACTTTTTCTCTCTGTGGCCCGCTCACGAATTCCGTTGAATGTACGGAATTTTAACGGAGCTAACCAAATTCTGTTGTGGATGGATAGAGGGGGCCGCCTCTAACTGCAGGTGAGCATGCCAAAGATGAATAGTCAAGGTATTAAACCCCAAAGTGGAATAAAAGCAAGGAGGCTTTGATTAAGTGGTTGCAAAAAATCATTATGTATTTCAAAACCATTGTTGCACCCCGGAATCAGTGGGGATGGATAGCACTGAATATACTTGAAGAGTCAGTGAAGCATAACCTACTTGCACAATTAGGATACTTGTGGAGAGTGATAATAAATGCAGAAATGCTCTCGCAACTAGACTTTCAACTATCATGGGAATAGTTTAGGTATAGCATAAAGACACTTTACAATTACAAATACTTAGACTTTGAGATTAGGATTGAGATAGCAGCCTTTACAAAGGCTAGGCCTGCAAAGCTCGATCGGCTTCACTTAGTCAATCTAATATCCCATTTTGAATTGACTCGGCTTAATGTCGCTTAGACTTGAGCGTGCCCACCTTAGAGTCGTAGGATCTGCTTTGAGAAAAAAGCTTTTACAATGCTTGAGGCTTACAAGGCTTGGAAACGGTGGATACAAGTGTTGAGTCAAAATACTCAACCCTTTATATAGTCTCAAAGGCTTTGTTCCAGAAATATCTTGATACTACTAGTAATTTACTTACTAATCAGTTTGTAACCTATCATGGAAGTGTCTCGAATATATTCTGGAGATTTGACAAACGTTCTACTTAGTATTTAAAGTATTATGTTAGTCTATTATCCAGAATATTCTAGTAAATGGCATAGCTACTCTATGGCTTCACTCTCAAAGGGATAATGGGTAACTTCATTCTCTTGAGAATGCTCTAGACCCTTCAATGAGACAAGGTGCGCCCTCCATAAAACATTACATCAAGTCCCGGTATAATCTGGCCCATTCTCATCCAATAATCAACCTTCATTCCTTTTCCATCTCTCAATCAAGTCTAATGTATCTTATCATACAAAATCAGCCATATCTTCCTCAATACTCATCCGTTTGAGCCAATTCTTTTTCTCTTAAGTTTTAAATTAAGTCTATTTTTGTTTATTTAACTATTCTAGCATCATCACTTTTACAACTATCCCCCCCTTCGGAAATCGACGTCCCCGTCGATGGGGTCAATTATGCTATATGTATCTCTAAAAGCTCCTCACTTTCTTGGTTGTAGTCCTTGTCTTCTCTTTGATGATGAATTTTGATAGGCTCGTGTAGATGTTGCACTTCCTCTTGTAATTGTTTGTGTTTTCTTGAACACATCATTATGTCTTCTTCCATGTCGTTGCAAGAATTCATTGATTAAAACTCGGCTTCCTTGAAGATGATCCTCTAGTTCCCATGTAGCGTTATAGTATTGATGGCCTTTCCAATGGACTAAGTGCCGCCGTTTTCCATGGAATATTCTGGTGTCCAGAATCCTTTGCACTTCATATCTTTACTTGGCCTCATTGCTCTTTGGTGTATCGCAGGCTGTGTTGTATGCACCTGCAAACCACTGTGGTAAGGCTTGAGTCGTGACACATAAAGTACTGGATATGCGGATGTGCCATTCTTATGGCCTGGGGCCAAGCTACATACCCGAAGACGCAAGCCCCCCGGAAAGCCTACTGGTGATCCGGCGGAGGAGGCTCTACGGCCCGCAGACTGCGGGTCTTATTGGGTGCTTTGGTAGGCGCGATTGCCTGTATCCGACCAAAAACCAGGTCAGGTTCTATATTTGAGAATGTACGTAACTGCTGTGGATGTGACCATCTTATTTTTTTAACTTTACCACAATCTACGATAATCCAAATGATGTTTCTTATATTACATTGTGCTCATCCATAAGATCATGGGCTGCCAGATAAGGTAGAGTTTTTGGGTGGTACAAAGTTATGGTGGAAAGGGGGAGACCACTTGCAGGAATGGTTGCTGCTCGAAACGAGTCACCACATTCTATTTTAAAATCTTCTAGCAAGTGTTGTTAAATCGGCGCTCACTGCTACCGTGCGATATTTGCAAATGGGTGCTAAGCGTTGGTGGAGTAAAATTAAAAATGAGGTGTGATCTTTAGTGTGCATTTGCAATGTGAAATTATTGCTATGAAGTTGCTTGCATTGGGACTTGAACCGAAATGCATAACAAGCCTATTCTGCGTAAACAATTTTGCACTAACTCATATCTACATGCAGTTATTTCCATTCTATACCCACCCACAAATATACAAAAGTACGCTTCTACTGTATATAATGCTTCATTGACTTCCTTGCATTACATTTGTCCACCCATGATAAAGAACAATACTTGCAACTTGCAGGCCTCAAGGTGCCTGGGGAACAATATCTGAATCCTCCGGAGTAATGAGAGCGCCCATTTACTCAATGCCACATTCGTCATTTTGCAAAGACAAGGCGTGCTTGATGAGGTGGTGCGCTGGCAAATTTGACGGACAATCTATAGCATGTTTGCTCTCGTCCAACATAAATATGCACAACGGCACAAGGAAGCAGGGGCTCAGTGCATTCACATACTTGCAAATATTGCATCACAATGTAAATAACAAGCCTGCTTGCATTGATTGTCCTTGGGAAATGCAACTTCTAATCACGTGATGAAAAAGGAGCAATAGCCGCTGCTACAATCATGTCCTTTCCTGGCAACCCAGGCAACCGCTAGCAGAAGATCACAGACGTGATCTCAATCAACTCGAGCCACAGAAATCGATCAATAATGCTGGAGCAGGCCTGGCAATAGTCGCTAAGTTCATATCCAACGCTCTTGATCAATTTCCATCAACCACTATCGCTTTGGGATTTGGCGCAGACACTGCACACCATCGACGATTTGCTGATTTTCTGCTTAGCCAAACTCTGGTAAGGGGTGACGGTGAGTTTTGAAGGTGTCGGAAACTGCAAGACAACCTTTTGTGGTGGGATATGGAGAGCGAATCGTTGCTAACGATGGCTGAGAAGGGGAGCACTCCTTAAGATCACAAGCATCACAAAACGATGTGAATGTTAATGTTCCCAATGACTAATCTTTCCAAATTGATAGATTTTTGGGATCTGCTTTTCAGAGCGGCAATGCCCTTCTTGGCAATTACACATGATTATTGTGTTGCTTGTGAAGATAGAAACAATATATTGCATTGATGCCATGTGCTCGGCAAGCACGTTAATTTAAGGGGTCAGTCAGATGGCTGCATAGAATGAACGTGCATCACAAAGGGCCGATGAGGAATACAACATTTTCTCCCTTTGTGTGTGAATTCCAGCTCACTAAACAATACCCAATCAGGACAACTTGTGCACAACAAAATCCCTTGGCCACCGTCGATATTTCGTGCATTCCCTGACCACGGTCAGCTTATGGTGTTTCAGTTCACCCGTTTTTAAAACAATAGCCCTGCGCTTTCTGCCTGCCTCCTGTCCTTCCCAACTGCCTATCATTCCATCTATTCATACACCGCTCCAACATTGCGACTAGGATGTGCTTCATTGCAGTTGACAAGCTTATAAGAGGACTTAAAAGAGGACAAGTAGTGGTCTACACCAATGTGAATGATATTTTGACAGTGAATTCCATGCACAACATGTTCATGACGTGCTTCGAGTGTGCCATGATTTTCGAGTTTGCCTATGTCATGTAAGTGCTGCTTTTGGCACTACCGTTTTGATGTCGAGTAGTCCATTGGGACACTTACTGAGAGCCTTGACTTTCCATAAACAACGCAACACCGTGCTTGACCATGCCATTTACCGGGCCAAGGCTGCATCGTTGACGACATCTTCACATCAATCGATCAAGATCACATCGCTCAAGGGCGGGAAACCGAATTTGTTCGGTCTCTTCAAGCTTACAGCTCCGTCCCTCCCCAACACGCAAGCCGCGAAACACTTTTGTGGAAATGGATGGCAGGTTCAGCCAATGCCCTTCTGTGTTCCACGCACTGCAATGTACTGTGGGAGTTACGCTGATAGACGCGGTCACCCGCCCGTGCATGCAAGTTGGGCGAGCACCGCCCGTTCTCAGGGCCGTGGCCTCGAGGGCCCACGCCCGGGCAGGGCCTGTCGACATGGTCTGGGTATCCGAAAAGGGCATGTACAGCCCAGTGCGTCGACAAGAGGACCTGGTGTCCATCCTTGAGACGCTGTGCAGGCGGGACGATGAGGGGTCTGCGGCATCGGGAGACGCCCTGCTGGCAGACTTCGTGGAGGCTCACGCGCGCCTGCTGAACCGCACGGACTTTCTGCTCTTCATGAAAGACGTCTATTCGCGGATCGAGACCATTTTGAGCAGGTGCGCAGATAGACTGTGGCATGGCCATGTCCCTCGGGCCAATTGCCCGAATTGCCCCTCCCCTCGATGGCATCCACTGCTTCTTTGTGCTTTTCGCCCGGAAGGCGCTTCCGGGAGGGCCGAAGTGGATGGCGCAGTCGTGTGCGCGATCAGGGCTGTGCAGGTAATCGGATTTTGAGATTTGGAGCTTTGGACTCACGTTGGACTCGTCGGCGGTGTGGCAGCGGAGGGAGGAGCCAGACCCTCGGGGCGCTGACAGCTGTGAGGCAGCTCATCGACGTGAACGTAAGGGGAACGGCAGCGAAACCGTGGGGATATGACGGGAATGTCCGCTGTTTTACCAAGGTTTCCATTGTACTACGATTTTGCTCGTGAAGATTTGGGTGCAAGCTCTTGCCGCTGTTAAGCCACTTTGCTTGTTTTGGAACCATTTTCTCTCAGGGGCAATGATAAATTTTCGCTCCAGCAGCCTTTTGACGTAGTGCCAAACAGCGCTGCATCACCAGTTGCCTTCCGGTGTTTGCTAAACTGAGTGCATGTCACTGCCGCAGTTGCTGTCAGACGATACACCCAAGACTCGGAAGCTGGCGGAATTTCTTACCAGGCTTGTGGGCCAGGCTGCTGGTGTCATGAGAGCTGGAATGCCCAGCGTCGATCGTGTCGTGATACTGCACACCTGTGCCACACTTGGGTGGCTTGTCAAGTCGGGCAGCTCAGTTACAGGGAACATAGCGGGCTCAGAGGTAAGGTGTGCAACGTAACTATGGTTGCAAGTTGAGAGGGCGCATTCTGCACAATTGCTCTTTGTGTATCGCTGGTCAGGCATTAGTGGATGGATTGGGGCTTGGCACCTGGTTTTGCAATAGCTGCTTTAATGCTGACATCTTGCTTGGAAATGCTTGTCTTGGCATGTGCAGATTGAGAAGGCGCTTGCAGAAATGGAAAATGGCAACCCCCATGTGGCACTGCTGGTGCTGAAGGAAATGGCAGACAATGCCCCTGCTGTGTTCAACCTGCATGTCAGGCAATTCCTGACTGCAGTGCTTCCAGCCCTCTCCCATCAAGACAAGGAGATAAGACTGGCAGCAGTACAAGCGCTACGGGTGAGCAGTTGCCAGCAAGTATCGCATGCTGATAATTGTGGCTTTGTGTGAATGAGTTGTGGTCACGGCCAGGCTATTGCTTGGAGCATGTCAATGGTTACATCACGGTACAATGCAGCACAGTCAAATGTGAAAATTACTGCGGGCTCATTCTCATCCATTGTCAGTTTGGCTAACAAGGTGCCATTGTCACTGGAAACATGCTCTGTTGTCATATTCTGTGTACATGTGCTCTTTCCCAAATCTACAAGACTGTGTTTCAGAAATCACTGTTATGACCTGCATGCATTCATGTGTCATATTGAGTGCCTCACAGCTATGCATTTGCTATCTTAGGGACAAGAAATGGGTGTACATGTGTTTGCACTAGTTTCTGGTTAGCACAGGCAGCCTTGGCCTTGATGTGGGATGACTTGGGATGCAGCTAGTTTCTTTGATTTTGCCTGTGCTTGGGCACTATGCACGGGCAGTGTTTCATGCAAACAACTTGAATCTGAGACTGATGCTGCCCACCGCGCTGTGTGTCATCCTGATGTTAGCTGCATGTTACTGACACAGCAGGGTGCGCGATGCAAGAAATGGAAAAGTGCGCTTGAAACGGGTCAGGCCTCCTGTTTGGTGGATGGATTCCGATGGAGACTGTGTCTATGTCTTGCTGCCTGACTCGTTCTAACTGCTGTGCTGTGCTGAAGGCCTGTCTTCGAGTTGTTGAGCAACGACCCATCAGACATTGGCAAGGCTTGTATCGTGACTTGCTGAACAAGTTGCTGCCAAAGCTTGGTGAAACTAAGTCTGTTGCAGAGATTCATGGTTCTCTGCTGGCTTTGGGAGAAATCATTTTGAACTCTGGGACAAATCTGTTGGCCTGGTAAGTGTGCTTTCACTGTCATTTTTTTCCAAGCCCTTATGTTCTGATGCAGCAAGAGGCCTTTTCCCACCTGGTCTTTAAAAGTGGTGTTGCCTGTCTGCTGCATACAAGTGATGCAAAACCCTGAACATGCGCTGCTTGGTGATGTGTGTGCTTTGTCATTTAGTCTGGCGATTTGCATGGTTTCGAGGGCTTGGAGCTGGTGAGAACATCAGATACCACCAGGAGCTTTCATCCTGTTGCCTGAGGCATGTTCCTTGGCATTTGTTTGTGGTGTTGTTCTGGCTGAATTTCAACATGCCTTGCTTGCAATAGAGCCTGCGGGAACTCCACAAATAGAGGAGTTGTATATGGTCCCCATCGAAGTTTAACTCCAGACAGGTGTTGGAAAACAGTTTGTGTTATCAGTGCTGCCGCACTGGACCAATGTGAGCTGGCTGTGCTATTGGCAGCAATGCATTTCCGAAACAGCTGAGTTGATTACTGTGGCTGGCACCATGCTGTGTTTGGGAAAGAATTCTTGTTTTGGGTGCATCCTGTTCATCCAGAGCACTTCAACATCGTTGAGCTCAAAGGGATTGGGGATGAGTGCTTTGTTGGGTGATTGCCTTTGATGTGCTGTGCTACAGGTTCAGAGACATCGCAGAGCAGGTTTTGGCAATAAAGCAGACCAAAGATGCTCTTATCCAGACTGCTGTTGTTCAAGTGATACCCTCACTTGCCAAGCTCTGTCCACAACGGTTTGCAACTGACTATCTGGAGTCTTGTGTAGATTACCTCCTACAACTCCTTTACCAGCAAAAATCTACTTCTGTCGTTCTGTCTAGCTGGAGTGAACTTCTCGCTGCGCTTTCCCAGCTTGAGGATGCTGCCGATGCAGTGCCGATGTACCGTCTACCTGAATTTGTACAAGCTGTTGAACAGATCTGGAGTGCACAGGGGCAACTGGAGGCCAAGCAGGATGCTGTCAAGGTAGGAAGCGGCACTGTGCCCTGCAGCAGAGCTGGTGCCTACTTTAGTTTGCTTCTGTTGACTGCCTGGAAAGGAACTGTAATGCAACAGTTGGCAAGTAGAGTTCTGCTGGACTATTGGCTTTGGCAAAACAATTGTGGCACTCGCATTAACAACATTCTGTGTGTGTGCTTATGCTTGTGTTTGCCCTGCAGTACAATGGCCCATGCATTGCCACTTCGAACAACCGGTCAAAGGATCAACGCATATTGGCTAGTTTGTTGCCAATTTTGGTGTGTCGTTGCCCAAACTCAGCAGACTGATACAAGAATGGCTGCACGGAAGGCATTCCCAGATGCAGTTGTGGGCGATGGACACTTGCTTGCCGGTCACAATGGCTTGCTACCTGATGTTGGCTTGTGCCATCCATAGGTGCCAATGCAAAGAAGGGTGGATTCCGATCAGTTGTGGTGGAATTGAGGTTGTGGCCATGCTTGTGCTGTAGTGCATTGGAGACTTGGTGGTGGTGCTAAACCGGAGTTGGAAAGCCCATGCCCTGGACCTGCTGCATCCCATGCTTCAGATTGGGCTGTCGTCTGTGCTGCTGGAGGCATTGAAGAAGGTAACGTCTGTGAGAACAGCACTGCCTGCCATGCCACATGTGCAAAGGCATTTATCCCCACATTGCTGGGGCGAGCAGGGCTCCTGATACCAGGCAGCATGTGTGAAACTTAGAAAAGATCGTTCCACTTGCCAGCCTGGCAGATTGCAAGTGTCATACTTTGCATCCAACAAACTTGGCGGGGCACAACATAGGGAGTTCTTGAATTCATTGTCATGCTCCCTTCACTGGCAATATGACTGGCTCCGTTGTGCTGGGTATAATGCTGCTTTGGTTGCAGGGCTGTATTCAGCTGTCAGCAACGGGTTTGCTGAAGTAGTTCCTCATGTGGATGGACGTTGGTTGCAGGTGGTTGCTACTTATGAAAGGGATGTTATGCCCATCCTTCAAGGCCCTTTGCTGGAACTGACACAGAATGCAGTGACAGACCAAGTTACAGGTCTGTGGGTGTTTAACAGCAGGGTTTCTACTTTCAACAAAGGTTCTCCTGCATGACGTGTTTATGTTGACCATATCACACAATATTTCTTGTTTGTATGTGTGCGTGCAAACTCCACCAACAGTGTTGCCAAAGTCCAGGCTGATTGTGCATCCACAGGCTGACCATTTCAACAACACAGGCAGATGGCTGTGTTATCAGCTTGTGTGGAAGGTGGACCTGTGCAATCATTTTGTACAATTATGCAGTGGGTACTGGCTCAGCTTAAGCACTGGAAACTTTGATCCGTCAATCGTGCAGACAGGTGGCGTCGGGAAATCCCAACAGAATGAGTTCAGTTGGTACCCATGGTCAGACTGGAACGCAGTCAATGTGTATATTTCTCTGTGTCTTATTTGATGATTCAAAACGGCTAGGTATAGAGTTGCTGTGTTGTGCTGCAGTTTGATTTCACAAAACTGCTTTGCGATTCATGCACTGCTCCAGTAAGCTGTCAAATAGGGTAGGTAAAGCAATTAGCTCTGCACCAAGTTCACTTGGCAACATGCAAGTGCCTGTCTTACCAATGTGGGTTTGGTTGTTGGTGCAGATGGGCGGACAGTGGAAGTTGCACTGCAGGCATTAGCATCTTTTCGCTTCTCTATTGACCCTTCTCGTGTTGAGTTCATTCATGGACACATCTATCAACACCTGTACAACCTGAAGGATGAGCGTGTCCGACGTGCAGCCGGCCTGCTGTGTCGGACAACCGTGAGCTCTGTTCTCAAAGTTCAGCCAGGTATGGCTGTTCAGTATTTTTTTGCCGTGCATTGATGTTACTGCTGTTGCTACCACTGCAAGTACAATGTGCTGTCACCAAATAGTGCTTTCTTGTTTTAACTCCATTGATGTGGTTGGCAAGGAAGGACCGATGCAAAAGGCGCTGCTGTGTGCAGGTATATTTCCTCGTGACAGCGATGCGATGGGGATGGTGGAGACGTTGATGGACTACTGTGTGGGGGCCGCAGTAGCAGACACCAGTGTGCATAATCGATGTGCCATGTTTGAAGAGCTGCTGCATGCGCAGGAGCTATTCCCCCACTTATCCCAGGACCGGCCACTTATGAGGCTGGCATACGGAATGCACGATGCCAGCTTCGAAGTGAAGGAACTTGCCATCCATCTTGTGGGTGAGCTGTCTAAATTGAACCATGCGACAGTGTTTCCAGTGCTCCGAAGAGTCTTGGGGACTGTGCTGGCTGACATTGAGCTGAAAGGCACAGTTGCAACTGTGGGAGTCATTGTGAGAGGTGAGGGCAGCCAACTGAATCACACTATTCATTCTAATATTTGCCTGCTACATGCTTGCACAAACACTGAAACAGCTGAAGGTTGCTGGTGATTACCACACTGGGGAAGCCCAGGCTGCAGCTGTGGGCTCTGTCTCACATTTGTGCACAATGTGATTGTGGACTGGTGGGGACTGCATTGAATGAACTATTGTGTTCCTCGTGTCGCCAGACAGTGCAAGAGTTCTTGGTTTCCTGGTCAAATGGGTGCCAAGGATTCTGGAGCTCAACAAGGAGCGGATATTGAACACCATATGCGACAGGCTTGGGGACCTGCAAAGAAATCCTTCCCCATGGAACTGCGTTAAAAATCCAGAGATGGAAGCAAGGGAGTACTTGTTGCGATGCATCTGCACCCTTGTGGATGTTCACAGCCAGCATCTTGGTGACTGCACTGCTTGGTTGGGGCCCCTTGTGGCTCGTGAAGTGATGGACAGTACAACAAGGAGCAAGCAGATCGTGGCTGTCAATGCTCTAGGGAAGGTGCGCAACTGTTTTCGTTGCATTCGCCAATATGCAGTGAAAAATGCTGCCTCCATCCTTGGCTAAAGTGTACTCTAGCGCAGCTGAACATGCAAGAGAAAGTTGGGGATCGTGGTTCTGTGCTGGATTGATGTCACACACTGTCTCACCACTAGCTTTGTCAGCGATTTCCGTGTCCAGACTTAAGAATCGCTCAACATAGCTGTGTTGCGCCAAAGGGCTTGATGTATTGATGTGTACTGAAGCTGCACTGGACTGTGTATGGATTGTTACAACTTGGAAGTATCATTCACGCCTCAATGGGCTACTAACCACTGTTCTTTCATGTCGATCTGCTCAGCTCAGTTTACACAGGCCTGTACACACCTTTGTGGCTGGGCCCTTGCTGCAAATAGCCTTGCAAAGAACCTGGGATGCACCCCCTGTCCACTGTTTTGAATTGTTTGGTGTGTTCCACGGTGCACTGTTGTGACCAGGGGATATGGGCACAGCTTGGTCTTCTTCATGGTGCACCGCAAGCAAAGCGATGCTTTGAATGGATAGCTGCCTGCCATCCTCTGCCATTTGCTGGAGCATTGTGCAACCCTGTGCAGACAATGTGATGAAAACAGAATTGCACTGCTGATCACTTATGCTGCTGTGCGCCAGATCGTCAATAGTGTGGGCAAGACAGCAGAGCAGTATTTGGATATTCCCCAGCTTCTGCACAAATTGCTGCGGACGCTTGATGAGTGTACTGAGAGCGAGAGGCAGGATGTTCTTGGCACAATGGGCATCCTTGGGCAGTTGGATCCCAGTACATGGCGCCAGCTGGAGGCTGAGATGAAGGATGGAAAAGATCCACAGATGTTTGGAGGTGCAGCAGGTGCAGGTCCGCTGTGCTGTGGGCAAGATATGATGTTGACAAGCAGCTATGCATAGCACTGTTGCCACAAGAATTGTGGTTCATTTGGTAGCTCTGAAGGCCATGTTTTGGTACAACCACATGGACCCAAGGCACCAGCACTTGCGCTTCTTCACATAGTGTGTCTGTAGAGGCTTACAAGCCCAAGTCATTCTGTGGCACAGTCTGGATAATTTTGGATGGCTGCAGCATTCCATGATCTTCAAATCAGCCGACGTTCCTTGTAGTGCTTGTTGAGCTGCATGAAAGTCATATCATGCCCAACGCTGTTGACTATTCAGGGTACCAGACAGAATGGGGCTTTGCTTGGGCCTTGTGGATATGTGCAGCTTTCTCTGCAACCTCCACCAAACAAACTCTTGGATCCAGTGAAGCTGCTTGGTCTTGTCGAAACCAATGCACAGCACCTCAGCACTGTGTGCATATCAATCGACAGAGCGCTTGCTGCAATATGATCACAAAACAACAACATATGCTGGCCCAAGGAGGGATCAGTTGCCTGAAGAAATAAACAATAAAGTATTTGCCTGTGTAGTGTATGTGATGACACCAAAATTGGTACCTTTCTCCTTATACTTAGCCTTTGGGAGATGTTCTCATCGGGAGCGTTTGTGGGGTGAGAAGGGGAATGGTTGACAGCAGAATTGGCACGTTTTCGCTTATTCTGCGTCATCTGTCAGATTTGTTATGTATTGGCATCTGTGCCTACTTTGTCCCTGCTCTAAAGCACCTTGCACCAACTGGACAGACACTTACTACAGCGCTTTTGCACTGCACAAAATTCCAGGATCTGAATATTATGTTTAGTCCACAGTTCCCTGTTGAATGCTCCTTTGATTGCAGTTGTGCTGTGGACAATATACTGTCCTTGCACCGAGAATTGTATGAATGGGACTAGTGACACACACATGCATTTTCTGTTGTCTTCTGCCAGGCATGGATGATGCGGATGATATTCAGGGAGAGCTGGTCCCCACCTGTGACCTTGTTGTCGGCACTGAGGAGCACTACACAAGTATGGCAATCAATGTGCTCATGCACACACTCACTGACCCTGTGGGTGGTGGGGATCAAGTCATCATTGTGACCAGCCTCATGACAATTTTTGAGCATCTGGGGAGAGCTTCTGTTCCTTATTTGGAGAAGGTGCGCTGACAACCAGGAATTGAGGTGATCTGCATTTCAAGATGGTTCAAATGGTTTTAGTGTGGAGTCAGATGCATTCCGTGGTCCCCAAGAATTGCTACCTGATAAGAGTTTGGCAAATGCGAAGGATAAAGTCACCACCGTTGTTGAACTTCGCACAAAATCCTATTGTTTCTTGGCTCCACACTCGTTATCGTCCGATTGAAGCTGCCACCTGATTCCTCTACGAAATGTTCAGTGTTGAGCCATGGTTCAGGATTGGAAGCGCCCATGGTGTCTCTATGGCCGTGCATCTGTATACGCACTGTGTCCATGCATGCAGATCACCTGATGGCTGTCCAGCATCCCTGGTCTGCAAGTTTTCAAGCGCTTGTCCACGTTTTGTTTAGGAATTTTGATGTTGCAGCACCATCAAACATGTTTTCAACGATTGTACTGCTCCCATCCCTAGCACAAAGGGGATCCATGCATGTGAGTATTGGCTTCAGCTGATGTATGGCAATCAGGTTGGCAAGTTGCATGCCCGGACCAGTCGAATAAGAAGCAGTGTGCTAACATTGTATTTTGCCTAAACTGTCCAAATTATTTGAGGTACTGGCATTTGGACCATCTGCAGGTGCTGCCTGTTCTTCACCAAGTGCTGAAGGATGGTGACAAAGAACTTCGACTTGCATTGTTCAGTCATTTTGCTGATCTGGTGGGCAATGTGGGAACAGATGTGCAACCTTTTGCTGAAGTATTGCTGGCATTGAGTCTAGAGTTTTGGGGGGAGTCAAAAGACCTCATGAAGTGCATATTGAGCCTGCTCACCAAGCTTATAGGTAGGTGCTTTCCAACTGCCGTGTTTAAATTTTCTTGGCAAATGCCCCTGCACATCAATTCCCAAACCCTATGAAGTTGCTCTTGTCTGTGATCGCTGACCTGATGGCGCACACAGTTGGATGGCTGAATGCGAACATCTTATGACGCCCTCTCACACTAACAAGGGGGCCGGAGATTTCTGCTTGGGACTTGGTATTGCCTTCGGCAAGGTTAGTAAATGTGCTGGGTCGCGTTTTTGCTAAAATTTTGGCTGCGTGGATGCCAGGCTTTGTGCAAGGACAACTTCATGGCCACATGAAGGTGCTGGTCCCTCGTTTGGGGCAGATCTTCTCACAAGCACAGATGCGAAATGACTTCGACCTTGTAGAATTGGGGTTCGACGTGCTGGAAGCCTGTGGGCCTGATCTGCAGCAGCACTTCCCTCTTATCGAGCCCATCCTCACAAGGTTCATTCAGAGACCACATGCTGGTGCAGAGACTCCTGCGGGAATCCGTGCAGCATACCTCAGGCTCCTGTGCAAGTTGCTCCCCGAGCTGAACATATCCCTGAGAGTCAGTTATTCATACGTATCCGAAATCCTCCTGTCTCTGATAAACCTACTGTACCACGAGCCGGAACTGAGGTCGGAGACGGTTGATGCATTGTGTGCCGCACTAGTAATGTACGGACCACAAGGAGCAAAGACACACATTGAAGAAGTTGACAGGGTAAGTATGAGCTTTCACATATGGCGGCATGATTATATCTTCCTTTGATGAATTGTCACAAACGAGATGAAGCATTGCCTCATAACCTGTCCAGTGAAGTTTGAGAGGACAGCGTGAAATTTCATCTTGAGGTGGGCATTTCTGTTGCCAAGCAGCTGCACTGTTCCATCTTTGCAAGGGCACAATGCAGGCATGAAAAACATGAAAAAACCACGTGACAATTAACACGTGACAGGGCTCAGGCAACTCCACCTTCTGAAGAAATGGCTGATGAACACTGTGTGGCTGTGTGCATGTGTTGTGTAAGTGGTGGGATGCGCATTTGAGGTTGATGCCCAACGCATTGGAGAGTGGTTCAAAGTAGCAGCTCGTTGTGATGCATTGAGATTGTTATTGTGTTTGTTGAAATCTATTGACGTCATCTTGAAGCCAAATCTCGAATTGAACGGCCTTTTGCAGACTTTCGAGTTTCATTCTGCACTCAGAGAACCAACGTTTGTTGTGCTGTGTAGGCTGTCCAGTACTGCCAGATAGAGGACGAGGGATTACACAACCTGATTCGCAAGACACTCGCGTACTCTCCTGAAGAACTGGAGGCCAGCGCTGCAGGAGATACATTGAGTAGTATGGGGGACTGGGCTGAGGAGGTCGAGAGGCTAAAGCAGGGATCTACAAATGGGACGTCTGGGCACAGGAGTGTATTGTCACCCCGAATCCGAGGTGTGTATTCTGTGTTTCAGTGTCTGTTCGTACAGCCTGAGTGCCAGTGAAGCCAGAGGAGCACCGGCGCCGCATTGCTGTCAATTGTATCCTGGGGCCCAGTGCTGTATGCCTGATGGCTTTGCAGCACACCTCAGCCACAAAGTGGCGTTTATGTGTCCTGCAGCTCTTGGGCACATGCAAGAGCTTTTTGTGCTATGCATTGCCGGCTGTGTTCAGGTGTCAAGGTCATGAGACACCCATCTTGCCCTTTTGGACATAGCTTTGAGGGTGCTTCCGATGATGAAGGGTTACTCGTTGTTCGCAAGCTGACTGCGTCCTCGTTAATGCTAAGTCACTTGAGCCATCGTGCACATTCATGTGCTCCCTCAGGCACTCTCCGACGTGGCAGCTGAACCCGTGATTGGCTGTTGCTGAGTCTCTGTCGCTGAGGCTTGGTTGCAGAACATGGATGGGAATTTCTGCAATTTTGAATGTGCTGCACGCTTGTCCTGATGCATGCACCTACCTTACTTTCTTGGCAGTAGTGGCTGTGGATAATACATGTTTGTACGTTGCAAAGAACTTTCGACAAAGAGGATCTTTGCCTTGTATTGTAGCCCTGGAGGCTACAAATGGATTCTGTGGGAAAATCACAAATGGAACTGTTGCGGCATATGTGTTGGCATGATGGGCATGAGAACAATTTGGAAGTGAAGCAGTCGTTCACCCAGGGAAGAAGATAAGCTCCTACATGTGGCACTGGTCACTTGGGACACCCATGTCATGGTTGCCGTTTTGAATTCTGCGTTGGCATTGTCGACTTGGCAAAATGTGTCCAATTGGCTGAATTGTGTCGTCACATCCACGAAGCGATGGCAAACGCTGTGATATCCAGATGGCTCTCTTTCCCAGAATGTGTGTGTATCGTGCAAGCGTCGTTTCTTGTGGTGGTTCTGCAGTGTCTATTGATGCACCAGCGGATAATGAGCACAATGACAAGACGGAACTGGCCAGTGCGTGGGAAACGATGGAAAGGAGCACCCGTCAAGACTGGGAGGAGTGGATGCGATCCGTGAGTGTAGAAATGCTGAGGCATTCGGAGTCCCCGTCGTTGAGAGCATGCCACAGTCTGGCGCAGGTAGGGGCCTTTCGTGCTGGGTAAGGAGCCTTCTGCAAGTGCATCAGGGGCGACAGCTTTCCGTGCTGGTGTGCACGAGTCCTTTAATTGCAGGTTCTCAGAATGCGCTGCCATTGCACATGGAAGGTGATGGCGTGCACACACGCAATGTCCCGCACTTGTCGAAACTGCCAGGCTCGGTCTTGGTTGCTTGCTTGCGGAAATCTTAGTCTGTTTGGTGCACACGGAGACTACACGTGTTGTTCCTCAAGTGTTTGTTGTGTGCACGTGTTTGTCTTTGTTGTGCAGGTCAACCCGAACGTCGCAAGGAGGTTGTTCACTCCAAGTTTATTGTCGTGCTGGCCTTCCCTTGGCGAGCATTTGCAGGAACAGGTCTTGTCGTCTCTAAAGGCGGTCTTCGTGAACGGGAATTCCATTCCGGCACACGTGGTGTCGCCGATATTAAGGCTGATTCAATTTGTGGAAAGCTGTAATAATCAGTTGCCGGTCGGCATGGAGTCCCTGTCAGCTGTTGTCGAAGAGTATGGACACGTTGTTAAGAATTTGAGGTACAAGGTAGACCAGCAATGAGGGCTGCAGCAGAGTTTGGCGGTGTCCGGAGGGTGATGTCTGTGCGAGCCACAATCGCCCTTGGTTACATTGTCGCCCACAGTGCAGCTCCTGTGTTTCATAGTGTTATCCCAAGCTTCTCATTTGATTGCAAGAAACCATTCTTTAAGATTGGATTGTGACTTGGTGTGCATTCTTTCTGGCGATTGCCCTGTGGCCGCTGTTCGGCGCCAGCCAACAGAGGAAGATCGGCACCCTCGTCTCTTGACGGTGCTCCGGATTGGCAGGTATCCTTGCTGTAGTTGCCCACGAAGGGAAAGTCGCTGTCCAGAATCCAGCGTTCAAAACGCATGCATTCGATACAGCAGGAGCATCTGTACCACGCAACTTCAGTGTACAGTGCCCAACCTTTTAGGCGGGCGTGAAACAGGGAGAAGGAGTGAATGGACATGAAGTCTTGGTGTGAAACCCAAAACTGTCATGGCATATGTCCCTCTCGTCATACGTGACGCAGTCATTCTCGAGGGAAGCACAACCCGCACACTGACCACCTCCCACAAAGTGCTTCACATGAATTGGGTGCCAGCCCACTGGCTACGTGGAAATTGCAGATATTGCAGAGCCGTGAAGGAGCTCTAAAGCCCTCATATGCTCGAGCGAAGAGCCACCCTGTTTTGTTGTCAGCAAAGATGCATCATGAAGGAAATATGCCAATCATATATACACACGCAGTCGGCAGCCGATACCGCACGAACGACTGCCACAGCGCCTCTTGTGCGTCAACCACTACCGCTACACTAAAATTCTTCAAATTTGCCCTTTTCGGGCCGCGCCTCGGCTCATCACGCCCGCCATGAGCCCTTTGGTGGGACAACAAACTTCTTGCAGGCTCTTCACGCCTCTCCTCTGCTTCACGACTTCTGCCTCATTGCAATTGGCCCCAGAGAATTTGAATTATCGCACAGAACCATTTGCAGTCTCCATAGAACCAGGGTCAATACTCTTGGGGCCTCAACATTAAGGCGCCCAAGGAGTGCTGTCTCAATGAAAGGGTCAAAACAGAACGGGCCTCAAGGATGAGGGCCAAAAGTTAATCAGCTATAAAGAACACGACCTCTCCCACACAAGCAGACCGACAGACTACAAGACGGCGCGTTGGTTTTGTCAATTCCAAGATTTACCGAGAGTAGAATTCAAGAATGTACCAAGAAACAACAGGTGAAGTTCCTCACTCTGCAGAATACGCAACAACTCTCGAGGGCCTACAGACGACTCTGCCATCGTCTACCAATTGCAGCGCTCAATCGTTGATCTGGAAAGCACTTCAGTATCCAGGGATAATATGCTATCAGAATCATGTCTGAAGATTGGAGCACAGGACTCTGTAGCGAACCAGGAAGACAATCCGAACAGCAAAGGCTTACAACTTTAAGCAACTGCACCCATCGCTTGCGTGCTCTGCAGCAATGCATGGACACCAGAAAGTAAATGCTACATGTTATTTTCAATTCCAAACCGAGCACATTTCTCCAGGCGACAAGTTTCCATCCACTATAACGAAGTACAACGTATATCAGTGAACACCATATCGTTGTTTTCATCCCATCCACATGCACCAAATCATCTATGTGCATCTACAAAATTCATTCCCAACGCTTTCCTCTTTGTGCCCGAGCAGATCAAAGGACATCGATGATTTCCCCTCCTTCGCATTCAACATCAGCTGGCGTTTGTTGAGGCAACAATTCCTCATCATCAAACTCAAACTTCGCTACCATGCCTTCCTCCAACCACCCTTTTTTCACAGCGTGCTGCTGGTACTTGTCAAACATAACCTGAAAGTGTTCCTGCATACCAACCCTCACCTTGACCACCCGGTTTTTGCGATCCCTCAATTTCAGGATGATGGATGCTTCTGCTTGCTCACCTTCGGATTCGTTGGATGACTCTCCACTAGACGCTGAAATTTCTGACGCAAATGGGCCATCAATTAAAAACTCAAAAGTGACCAGGCATGGCTGCTTGTGGCTGGAGTCCTGGTGGCATACGTGGGTTGTTTCTGCTGTAGTTTGTTGGGGGTGAACCTTCTAATTGTCTGTCTTTTCTCCCTGGGTTGTGAAAAGTAGCACTGGGTGCTAGCTCCATGGCAGCGGTTAGATTTGGATGCATTGGATGTCTCAGAGCATGGCAGACAGTGAAATGATGCTTTGTTGTGTTCACAGCACTACCCTAAACACAACTTTAAGCATGCAAACTGGTGACAAATTTTACCCATCAAATGATGATAAATTCCATGAAAGTTTATTCGTATTAATAAGTCAAGTTAGACAACTGTCCCTCGTGAACATGTTGCAAGCATTTCCAGATAGTGCAGCGTGCAGAATTCCTACAAAATACAATTTCAATTGTGACATGCACAGACTGCACTGCACAACCACAACCTGGCCTTCACAAACTGCTCATATGAGCTACAACTGCAGCAAAACATCAACACCCCAGTAGGCAGTCCAAAGACTCCAAATGTGCAGACACCAACAGGAAAGGCAGAGTTGACGCCAAAGAAAGGCAGCTATGGAACCTGACAACTAGATGAAAGGATTCTGCAAGTTCAAACCGAGGCTCGTACCATGGGCCTCCTCAGGATCCTGCAGGTCAGCATCCTCATCCGATTCTGACACAGATGCATTGAGCTGTGCCCTCCATTCACTGGACTTGGCCAGCAGCCTTCTCGTTTCTTCATCCAGCACCACTGCTGTTCCTGGCAGGGACTGTTTTCGTTTTTCCACAATCGACGGCCTGGATGGAACAACACCAGAGGGCAGTTGTGAGGATGTGGAATCGCAACAAACCAAAGCATGGGGTTTTGCTGAAAGGACCTCTTTGCTGATACCTGTTTCCATCCAGCTTCTCAGCAGATTTACATGTCTCTGTAGTTGAATCTATTACAATAGATTCTGGTTGCTGTGCACATTCCTGCACCAGATCAAGCTCAAATGAGAACAAATCCTGATACCGAAGATGATGACACAACTCCTACAACAAACAATGCAGGGCATGGTTCGATGCCTAGCATGTTTATATCAGCGTGCTCCTGGTCTACTTGTTGGCTAGGAGTATGCACAACGTTGGACACAGTTAAAATTCTCGCAGTGGAGATCAGCATTCGCTGGAGCCCAAAGATACCAGGTAGAAAACTGTGGGGTCAACCACAGTGGCTGGAGCTGCAGTGCAGGCATTCTAAACGGTGTATGACAGCAGCCCCACAATCATTTTATTCTCGCATATTTTCGTTCGAGTGACCAATATGTGATTAACAATGTGATCCAAAGTTTGCTTGCTTCTGTAGTTCTATTGCAAGCATTTCAGGTGTGGTCCTCAAGCTGATGTTGGTGTTGTCTGGCCACTTCCACTGCTCCTGATTGGTACAGCAAAGACAACAATTCACATTGACTGGCACCTTTGGCCCTGCAAACAGACAGCACAAAGTGGGTATCTAACAATTGGCTACTTCCTTGTGCCACATATGGTTCATCAACACAAACATTTTGTATCGTTGACATACACAAGTTGCAAAGAATGGTGGGCTGTCCTTGTGACTGTGCACAAACACAAAAGATTCATGTCCTCAGCCCGACAATTTGCCCATCACAAAAGTCTGCCTTATTTGGCGAAAGAAAAGTTAGCAATGTTTACCGCTTTGGCTGTCGTCTTTTGCTTTTTTCTCGAGGTGCTTGTTACCTCCACACCATCTGCGCCATCTGTGCAGCAGTGACAGATGCACTTCAGAAATCTAACCTTCCCATACATTTTTTCGTCCGCTATTCAGCCTCACAATCCATCAGGCACTCCTTTCAAACGCAAAGAGAAACAGGGCGCGAATGGAATTCCAAAGGAGCGAGCGAACAAAGGGTGTGCGCACTCAGGCCATGCTCCTCAAAAGCCTTGCAGAAATGTTCAGAACTCAGCTGTGGTGGGCATCTGCCCTTGCGGACGACCAGGAGGTGCGCCATCGCCCTCCTCTAGACGGCCACCGAAAGCGCCGAGCGCCGTTAACTGGGCCAAAGCACAGCAGATGGGCCATCACCTTCGCTCGAATCGGACATGGAGCGGCCCAGACCCCGGTAGTCGAAGAGGTCAAAGGACGCCGCCGACATTGTCCCCTCTGCGGTCTGTCCCTGCAAGCACTGGCTGCGTGCACTGGGTGTGCAGCCTGGCTGTGCGCGGGATTGCCAGATTGGAGTCTTCTTCATGTGCATCAACGTGTTTTTTCTCTTCTGCCAACTCGACCCGAATCCGCATCCGATTCCGAATCCTGGTTCTCTGCTGGTGCGCAAACTGCATTCATCGTGCGGTCCGTCGCACAGCGAGCGCTGCTGGCGAACAGGATGCAACTGTCCAAAAAATTGTCCAAGAAAATCTTCAACCACTCCCGGGGAGAGTCACTGGTACCGCACGCCCTCGTTGCATAGCAGCTCGTCTCCTTTGGTGGTTCTTTTGGTCGTGCGTCGCGATCCCGTACACCTCTGCAAAGTTGAGACAATGCAGCGGGGTTTCTGTGAAAAGCGGCAGTGGTAATCACCTGCTGCCTGCGCTTCTGCCCACGAGGCAGTGCTGCCCTGCATGCTGTTGGTCTTTGCACCTGATGGAGAACAAAAAATTCATGGAATGAACTCTTAAGGCCAATCTTCAGCTGAGCTGCCTCGGGTGAGCACAGCACCAGCGGTGTTATTCTATATTGTGACCTTGGTCCATTGGCCACAATCACTGTGTTTGCTCTGTGCTCAGTCATCAAACTCATGGAGTGCACCAGCCACGCTTGAGGAGGCGATTCTCTGCTACCTTGTGGCACGAGGAGATAGCCAGAAGGTTGAGTCTTCTTCTTGAGGACTACTTGATCGATGAAGCAATTACCTCAAAGGCCCTGGGTGAATGGATCAGATGCAGAGCCTGCGTATTGCTTGTCTGGCAGTCCAATCCAACAGAGCCAGTTATTGGATCTTTCTGCAGCTGTCAACGCCTGCAAGCTGGAAGGGCTTTTTCATGACTTCATTGGTGGATGGAATCCATTGGAATTTCCTGTCAAATTTCTGGCTGCTATTCCAGCCAAATTCTTAGCTGACCGTGGCGATTGGGACATCAGAAAAGAACTTGGTGCTTTGCCTTTCATGGAGCCTGCATGCATGGTGTTGCAGCACGGCCTGTGTTCAAACATTTGGATGTCCTCAATGGCTGCAAGCAAGAACATCGTTTATGGAAGCTAATACTTGTGGTTGCTTCCAGAAAATATCGGGGCTGGAGGCCATTGACAACCTTAGGAAGGCTCTCCTGGAGGCAGACAAATATGACAAAGTGAAGCAACTCCTTAAGCAAACTCAGCTTGAGCCCAGTGGTGCTGTGGGAACAGAGCTCTCTCAAAACCTGTGGCTGCTGGCATCGAAAGATTGGGCGAATGTCAGGCTGGTGCTACAGAGGATGGCAAACGAGAACCCCAAAGAGCCGCTCTTAAGTATTTTGCTTGTGAAAGCAAACCTCGGATGTGCCAAGAAAGGGTCATATGAGGAGGCTGTGCGCTGGGGAAGGTATGGTACATTGTGTGGCATATTACAATAAGCCGAGCAGTGCTCTGTGTTCATCATTGTCAGTTCATTTTTGCTTACCGAGCTGGCCTTGGCATCGCTTCACAGGCGCTGGGTGGCCATATCAAATGAAACACACTGTGGAAACAATGCTGGATGTAAATCTTTGAGCTGGTATTTTGGCTGTTTGCTTCCCTGGCCTTTGTTACAACTTGCGATGGTGGTGCCAAGGAGTGCTGGTTGGAGACTTGATTGTCTGTATTGCAATGCTGTTTGCTGCACTGCCAGGTGGGCAGTACAGGCCTGTGAGGCAGATGGCACTCCAGATTGGCTGAATGCCCAGGCACACAAAGCGCTAGGTGCAGCACTCAGCACCACAGCAGCACAAGGAACGCTACCACAGCAAGATCGTGTGAAGCACAGGTATGACCATCCAGAAAACCTTGAAGCGCAAAATGCTTGTACATGTGGCAAGCTGTCGACCGCATAGCACTGCAAGGCGGAAAAGGCCACAAATATTCCTGAACAGTGGATTATTTTCCTCTGACTGGGATACATGTTTACGAGACACTTGTCAATACGTCGATCAGTCGCCATGCGCTGACAGGAACAAAGGGAATGGGCATGTGGCAAGTGGACCAGTAGGGTGTGCTTGGAACTGTTCATCCAGCCATTCAAGGATGCGGCATCAAAGACAGACTGTGGTCAGAACTCCCCTGCCTGTATTTGTGGTTGTACTTGAATTGTGCACACCAAGTGTATGCCAGTCCATGGTGCATCTTGGACATGGACGCCTAGATTGGTGCGGCTGATTATCTCTTTGTATGTGTTGTCTGAACTGAACTTCTTGCTTTTAGATGACTTGTTGCCTGGCACCGATGCAACAATGTGTTGTTTCTCACTGTGGAGTAAAATGGTGAACAGGTTTTAATCGTGGAAATCAAGCAAATGCAGGAAATCATCACGTGCGATGCACTTTATGCTATTTGTTGGTCCTTAAAAAGCCCGTGCAGCTTCTTCAGCATCTATTTGCCCGTATTAGTACTTGCTAACCTCAGCTTCTTTTGAGCATGTGCGCCCTATGCAGACAAACCTGTTACCGCACCGCACTGATGGTCAAGATGCATGGTCATAGACGATTTCCAAGATGCTTTGTTCTAACTGTGCGATTGCTGGAGTTTAGGAGGGAGGCAATGAGCATCCTTTCAAGGCTTGCTGACAAGAGTGGCGAAGATGCTTTGGTGCTGTATAACATGGCATTGCTGCATGCAGAGAGCAGACAGTACACAGAGGCATTGAAGAATGGCAGGGCAGCACTCTCTGTGAGTGAGGGGCTCCTTGCCCCAGCATGGGCACTTGTGGCTCTGATTCTCTCAGGGAGGTAGGATGCAGGCAAGGCAACATGTGAGGTGATTGCACACTGTGTGCTCAATTGCCGCATGAAGAAACTGCTAGAGTTTAAAGGAGAGGAGTTGCAGCTCAAAACTCAGCAACCTTGCTGTGTAGTCACAGTCATGTCGAACTGCAGGTCGCCAATGCCTGCTTCCTATGTAATTTGTGTTGCACCTGTTCAGGATTCGAGCCACGTTCGCCTTGGAACAGGCTACAACAGACTGTGCCACGTTTCAACGAATGTGCATGGGGTTACCTGTTCTGGAACAAGGATGCAAAGTGGAAAATCCAGCCAGGCAGCTAGGCACTGCGTTTGTAAGAGGGGTCTGTTTTCTTATGCACAGGCGTGAGCTGAGCGCAGCTTTGGAAGTACTTGATGGTGCTCTTTCGGAGGTGAATGAGGTGTACGAATCAATGTTTGTATCCATCAAATCCAAGCTGCTCATTGCGGCTGGTGCACCCCATGAAGGCATTGCGGAGTTGGCCAAGTTGTGTGGCAAACTGCGGCAGATGCGCAAGACAAACAGCTGGCACTCTGATTTGCAGAAGGAGGCACTTATGTTGCAGGAGGCACAGGTGAGGAACAATAGGCAGCCATGGAGCAATTGGAACTCATGCTGTGTACAGCTTGTTCAGACCCGATTGGACTAAGAGACTTGTCCATCACCCTTGCAACATGGCAAGAAGCTCAAAAGTGTTGCCTAGGAGCTCCCCCAGCCTACACCAATCACCTCCACCAACAGCTGTACTTGTTGCATGCTCGTCCTCTCTACAAAACTGTTGGCACATCGTCAGTTGGAAATGAACTGACTGACTCTCAGGAAGCGATAATGAACGGAATCATACTGAGTAGCTGTGACAATACAGAAAACGGCACCTTATTTTATTGGAGAATGTGTGGGAGATGTGTCCTTAGTAGATATTTGTTTGAAGGCAAAGAGGGATTGTACAAAAGGGAATGGACATGGTCTGACTTGTACTCCACTGTGCATACATGTTTGGGATTATATAATAACATCTTGGACAGCCTGTTCCTGTGCATGGAGAGAGTGTTGCACATACAAGAAACCCACACACAAACTGACGTCATATGAGTAGTAATCCTTGCCTGTTAATATGTCTTCTTGTGCGTCCATCGCTCAGGTGACCGATCCATCAAAATGTCGATGTTGTGTGGGACACTCATGCTACATCTGTATGAGTAGGCGTGTGGAAAATCGTGGTTGGCAGCCGTGCCTCCAGTCTGCAACTGAGAAAGCAGGGTGTGTGCCCAACAGCTGTGGGGTGAGCTGGCGCTCTCGTATGTCAATGAGGGGCAGCAGCAGGATGCTGAGTACTGCCTAGATGAGATGACATCCCTGGCACAGTGGACGCCTGACAGCTTGTATGCTGAAGCACGGATACGACAGGCAGCTGGGGATATAACCACTGCTATTCGTAAATACGAGACTGCGTTGGCCATGAATCCTGACCATGCTCTCAGCTGCTTGCATCTGGGTGAGTACAAATGGAGTCCCGAATTTGAATGAAGCAGTTTGTGAGGTCCAGAAAAAGAGTTGCAATTGTTTTGCGACATTCGATGCAATGCTGTTGTGTGTGATGCCTGATTTGTGTTTGTGTTTTGTTTGGGTGGCAAAGGTTTGTGCTATATGTGATGGTTCAATAATGGTATGCTGTGCACATGGGGGAGTTGTCACACTGTGCAGTGTGTGCAATACAGTATGGCAGTGCCTCGGTTCCACATCCATTTCTCAAGCCTGTTGCAAAGTGTATGGCATTGTGACGCTTGTGTGTCTCCTTGGGGAGCAATTCCTTTCAATCGGTGCAGCAATGTTGCCACTGTTCAATGAAGGGACGCTGGGCAGTATGATGGTCCAAGTTATGTGGCCATCTTGTTTGCCAGAATGTCGAGGCCAATTTCTTGGAATGGGATAGCCGGATGCGCTTTTGTGAGTCTCTTGACGGTGCAAGTGTAGGAGATTTTCGGCTCCTTCGGTGACAAAGATGCAAGACGCATGTTGCTTTCCAAGAACTTTTTGAACAAGAACGTCAACAGTTGCTCATGATCTGCCCAGGGATGCTGTATTGGGAGCAAACGGAGGCCTCAGTGAAGACGGGAACAGACGCTTCTTATGAGCTCGTTACTGCACACAGCATGCTGTCTGATGCCGTCAGGCACAGGCCAGACAATCACAGAGGATGGTACTATTTGGCTTGGTCTGCAGAGCGCAAGGCCAACAGGAAGATGCTAAGAAATTCCTCCAGAATGCAGTGTCGCTGGCTGCGTCGTCTCCTGTGGAGAGCTTCAGCATCTTGCCAAGAATATTTTGAGGACGGTGAACACACGGGCTGTGGTTGGCTATGTGGTCTGCACTGGCCAACTGCTGCCTAACACACACAGGAGCAGTTGCGGCTGTCCAACTATATGGCAAGTGGGTAACCGACCTGGCGAGGAGATATGGCTGGTGGCATCGTGGGCTTGGGTGGATAAATTCTACTGGAAGGAACGGTGCATACCAGGTGTACACACCTCTGGATGAGCTGTGCCCTGGTGTGCAATTGAATTGTTATGGCCGCATGCATACATAATACGTGCATGGTTCAATGAACCCAAATGGACACGGTTGGACAGCAGCCTTCAACAGACAATACCCTGACGCGGTAGCCTGTGTTTCTTGTCGCCGGTGTTCGTGATGGGTGGGTTGTCTGGAAAAGGGCCCCTGGCACGTGTGCAGCTTCGCGGCATCAACCAGGCAAGTGGTGAGACAAGCAGATAGGCAGGGATGAGCATCGCAGAGTCCATGGCTCGTGCAGCGTCTGTGCATTAGTTTTAATACAATATGCACGCTGCATATTGTTGAGCAGTTGTGTTTGCATTTTCCCGACACCGTCCTTGCCTTCCTGAAATAGCTCTCTGAACGCTGTGTAGTGTGCCTATCTGTATCAGAAGTTGAAGTAGGATGCCTTCGCGCTTGTCAACAACAGATTATCTTGATGATCTGACACTTCAGACACAGCGCTGACCCCTGCAATGGGCATTTCATTGGCTACATGTGTGTAGTTGAAACGGCCCCACGCCCCAGGCCTCAGGTGGTAAAGGGCCATAAGATATCTTGAGGCCACCAGACCCTCCGTGACCCTGCCTCTGTTGCACACCAGGAAATTCCTTCAACAAGTTGGCGTAGATCCACCTTTGGTAGACTGGAGAAGAGTATGACAAACATCTACCCTTTCACCCCCAAGACGTGGTCGGGCGATGTTCACAAGTACGCTGGGCCCGACGTGGTCTGGCGATGTTCAAAAGTACAAGCTATCTTCGCCACAGATTGTTCATTGCTGTTCCAAACTGACAAACTGGGGTGGGGCCTCAATCCTGTATCGAGGCTCCTTATGCCATTAATGCCAAATTGACGTCGCTTAAGGGAACCGTTGCCTCCGCCTCCATCCGCTTGTTGCTGAAACTGACACATCTGATTATTGCACATATCCTGAGTGCTGGGAACAATGACAGACTACTGCAGCCGGAATTGACAGGGTGAACATGCGCAGGGCCATATTGCAGACGCACTTGTTGGGGCGGCAGGAGAGTTGGCTGCCTTCTGCACCTGCCGCACCATGAAGCCATCCATCCAAACCAAAGCAACTACAATTGGTGAACCAATTCGTGCTGATGATCGGTTGTCTACACCTTTGCCATCTGAAACAGCGCCAAAATGCGGTCCAAAGTTCTCACGAGGTATGAGGGAGTAGCACCTCGCCGAAATGAGCGAAACCAGGCACTCAACTGGGATATTGTCACCTCCACTGTTGACAACGAGTACTGGGGTGCACCGGGCGGACTGGGGAACCAAGGGATAGGGCGAATGCTCGAGTCGGTGCTGACGCGCACTGTGAACATGAACAACGTAGCTGTGGTTGTTGACACGATATACACGTCCCAGAACACGGCTTGATGGGGTGTGTTGAGCACTGCAACAGGTGGCGATGAACTGGTTGGAATTAGCCAACAATCGCAAAATGGGTAATGATGTGGTGAACGGGCAGATGCCTTACTGTTGAATACGCGACAATGCCCAGCACGATGGCAATTTTAGTTACTGCAGTGCACACTGCACGAGGTATTCAGGGCACTGAAGGATGCCCCAAAGCCGTACCAATTACAGGGTTCACATGGTTTTACACAATCGAGAGTGCTGAGCTCCCAGTGTGTCAACATGAACATGCCACAGAATCTGGGATGACAGATGTCAGCATGCCTCAACAAAGTCCTAAATGCTTCTGCATTCCAAAACTGTTCCAACCACTGGTGCCAATTTTCATTTTGCTCCATACCACCGTCAGTGCTGGAATTCCATTCTGCAGCCTAAGCGGCACCGCGTCTCAACCAAACCAACGGCTAGCTGAAGAACAAAAGGCAAAGGAGCCGCACAGTGAGCATCCACCATTCCAGAAGATTTTTGTGACCTACGAGAGATGACGCACTGCAACAGGCAAAGCAATAAACGCTGATGTGGTCAATGCTCTGCAGAGCACAGCATGATCAGTGGCGATGTTGCCATAGTTTGCACACACTCCTGGAAGCCACCACTCAATGGGGCAACCTCCATGCCTTGCCCAGCATCTGCATATCTTTCAGCTGCCTGTTGCATCCAATGTCTGCAAGGCTTCAGCCACAGTCCCATGGAGATCGCTGATACACACACCAAGGTTGCCTTGTCAGCAGCTGTTAGTGCTTCCAAAGGTTCAGGGGACTCCACAGTTGGCAGGCTTATGGACCATCTGCAAATAAACAGAGGGGGCATCATCCATCCGTGTCCCCGAATTAGCTAATATTTGTCTGCTTTGTTGGGATGGACTATCTGTCTGCATAATACCAGGCAGCCACGGAGACACCGGCACAGGTAAGTTCATTTGAAGAGCTAAAATCCACAAACATGCAGCTGGGGCACAGCAAAGTCCAGTTCAGCAGCACCATCCACCTGACCGCACAGAAAGTATTGTAAACAGTGCAGATCCACAAAACTCAGAAGGGAAAATAACGGTCAGAATCCACCAGGTTGAGACAAGTTAATGGACATATCAGCACTCATCTTACCTTTGGATGTTTCGTTATGAAAGCTGCAGACCACGTTAAGAAAATAGCATATTCGCAATTGTAGCCCTTGCCAGGTGATTGGCCTTGTAGCCCCTGTTTGCACACATATTTCCAGCATCGTTAATTTCAACAGTTCAGGCACTACGCAAGGTGCCAGCACAGAAAAGATGGACAGGCAGCTCAAGGGAATCGTCAGTGTGCGGTGAAAGATTGTTTGCAAAGGAGAATCTTGATTGCAGTAAACAAACAAAGCAAGCAGAACTTGAGTGTAATGAAGAAAACCTGTTGCTGAGTATGAGAGGCACTTGCCCACAGCCAAATAGCACTGATCTTGTCAGTATTGTGAAGCAAGTTGCGAACCTCTGCATGCACGACTTGATCTCTGCATCTCTGGAGACTGCAAATTTGTCCTTCTGGATGCTTGTGAAACTTCAATGGCACTCTTGCTGAATGAAGACAATCGCCGACAGTCTTCATGAGGGTACGACTTCGGAAAGCCTGGCGAAGCAATTGAACATTCCTTCACAGAGAACTGTTTGCATCGGTGCCGTTCTTCGCATGTGCCAGTCGATCAACAAGACCCTCCAGTACTTTCACGACTGTTTGGGCAGTGGGCCTCTCTAAGGGTAGATTTCTCCAACATGCCTCCATGACTTGTGCAAGGCCCTCTGGGACTTCGCGACGCCTCCTTGGCCGCAACCCTTGGTTCGCCACAACATCCATAACCTCAAGGGGGGTCAGCCTTTCAAAAGGCACCCGCCCCGTGGCAACGGCGTACAGCGTCATGCCCATCGAGTAGATGTCCGATTTGGGTGTCACCACGCCATCCAGAATCTCTTCCGGTGACTTGTACCGCCCAATGGCGCCAGACCGGCAAGCTCCGCGTGAGCCCTCGCTCAACTGAACAGCCCTGTTCAGGTCGACCAGCTTGACAACCCCTTTCTCATCCACCATGAACTGTTCCGGCCGCAGGTCGGTATGCACAATAGGCCCCCCTGGCGCCGAGTGCAGGGCCGCCACCGCCCTCGCCACGCCCAAAGACAAGTCCAGCCTCCGCCCGATCGACGTTTCACTTCCTATGCTGTCTTCCAAAGCGATGGGCAGGAACTCGAGCACCAGATCCGTCCCGCAGGCGCCCAGAAGGTTCACGGTGTGGCCGTCCCCGTGAAGGGCCCGCAGCATTCGCACCTCCTTGGCGAAGAAGCCCTTCACCGCCTGCCAGCCCAGGCCTTCGTGGAAGGCCAGTACCTTGGGGTCCGCCATTTTCACGGCAACCGGCTGGCCCGACTCCAATTCAGACTCGTACACTGAAGCGTAGAAGCCGCGCCCCAGGAAGCGCTTGAGCGGCAGCTTGCGGATCTGCGGGCAGCCGAGCTCGAAAGCGAGCGGTCGGGAATGGGGCGGCGCAAATGCCCAATACAGCCTCCGCAGATCCGGACCGGCGTAGGATCGCAGCAGGCAGAAATACAGAAACAACGGTATTGCCGCCCGCGCCAGGGGCACGCAAGCATGCGGGATTCGGCGTCGTGAGCGCGGGCGGAGGAGGCCCCGAGATCGCCTTTCTGGGACCCTGGCCCGCAGTGCCGCCAGGGCGGGCTTCAGCGACGTCGAGAAGGCCACCAGGAGGAAGAGCGAGGCCACCAAACGGGCAACCAAAACTATGTGCTGGGCGTCCAGACCCAGGAGGCACTGTGGGTCACCCATGGCGCCGCTCGCTCTCGCTGCCCCCGGCACGCTTGGCAACCCGCAAAGTGTGGTCGAGTCCCTCGCCCTAAACTTGTGGCTTCCGGATTAGGTTCGTGCGCGAGCAGAGGCCGAATTGCTGATGAATTGCTTGCGGGCAAAGGCCACAAAGATCCCAGATGGGTATTTTGCCTGGCGAAAAACGCTGCAAAAAGCCCCTGAAATCGGACAGTGTTTGTACCCACGAACGTCCTGGCCCGGCAGGGAGCATTTCTGAAGTGGGCAAAACTCCGATCAGAACCGGCATATTGCGGACACACGGCGCTTCGAAAAGCTCGAGGCAGCAAAACCCAAACAGCCAGGTGTCGACGGGAGCACAAAACCCTGATCCGGACCGTTCCCATTGCGGGCATCATCTACAGCTTTTTTCCGTTTCTATGGCTGGCAGGCCCGGTTCCACGTGGAGCTGTGGTCGCGCGCCAATTCGGGGAACAACGGGTCGTCGCCAGGACCAGTGTTCCCGTCCCTTCCCAACCATCCCCTTCGGCCTTGTCCCCGCAGCCGCCACCAAGGTCCAACCCACGGTACGCCGTCTGCTCAGCGCACGGCGCCTTGCCACTGTTCGTTCCCCAGTCTTTTGTCATCTGGCTGGATTGCAAGCAGGTCTTCATTCCCCTCTTTCGCGGCTGACGAGACTTGTGCGTAACAGCCCTGCCTTGGCATCTCCGTGCGACCCGAGTGTTCCTTGATCACGGACAGCACAATGGTCCCTGTGTCTGCGTTGTCGTCGCACGCTTCATCGGCTGATCCTTTGAATGCATCGACAGGAAGGCGGCTTGACGCGCCCGCTGTTGCAACTGTGACAACGGCCGAGAATGGAGCGAGGCTTGCAGGCAGGCCATTGCTCGCCATCGTTCGATGGTTTAGGTGGTTTCCGTCGATCGCTTGCGATCCAGCGGAGCAGCACCGGCAGGGGCGGGGACAGGCGGCTTTGCGTGGTGGCCGTCGCCAGGCCAATGGGTGCTTCTACCGCTTCCGTCGGGGAAAAGCGAGGGCCCAAGGTGGTTGTGGTTGGCGGGGGCTGGGCAGGTGGGGTGGCGACAGCACCACATCAGGGGCGCCATGCATTAGCGCGAGATGATGCGCCCCGTTTTCTGCATCACGTGCGTCACCAAATCGAAGGCCACAATGAGGCGAATTGCTAGCAGAAACGTTTTCCGTCGAAACTTCCCTAACGTCGTCCAATTTTAAGGATACCTTCACCCACGTTCTCCTGGCTGAATTCGCCAGATACAGTCAGCACTGCGCAAGGGAAGCGTTTTCACCAAACAAACAAAGCCTTGTGCTGATTATGTGCGGTAAGTTAGCCCACAGCTGGGGTGTGACGTAAATGCGTTCAATGCAGTGCAGTGCACAAGTTGCAATGCGATCAATCGTGATGGAGTGCAAGGATCGATGCAAAATCAATAGCAAGGATTTTGTGAGTTGTAGGGTTCAGTGCCATGTGGCCTGTGGCTTGGGGGCAGCCCATAGCCACTTACCCAATGTTGTACTTTGGAACATGGCCCACCTGAGCAGAATCTCTCATGGCTGAATTTGAGCCAATTTGCGATTTGCTGCTGAGCAATGTCCAAATCAATGGCACCCCTGCTGTTATTGCAGAATAATATGTCCACAATAGAGTCCTGCACAACCATTTCTCCCCTGTTGGACCCATTGTACCAATGCACAAATTGGAGGCATCTCACTTCTCAGCATACTACATAAAAGGACACATGATTGACCATCAGGTGCTGCTGCACTTAGGGACACGATGAGCATATATCATAAGCCCTTCTAGGCAGGCTGCTGATGGGCCATTCTTGAGAATGGGCTTACACTTCATATGTATTGGCACTGGAACTAGCATGCATAAGGAGTTGCACTTCTGAACAAACAATGCAACAGCCAACAAACAGGGTGATTGCCAGCCATGGCGCCATCATGGTTGTGGCAGTCATGCCAGACTTGGCACAATGCCCCATCAATCTGGCCCAACTACCATGTGCAATCACCGTGCAGACACCAGCAACTGACTTTAGAGAATCACAGGCTGTTACCTTGGCAGGGAGCCGCTCTGCGATTGTTCACCTGAGTTCACATGCCAATGCTCCATCCAGTTCAGTGGCCTGCATTTGCAGGTTGGCTCACAAGGATGGTACTGATATTTTACCATCAAACAAATGACAGATGTAATGTATGCATATCACAAGTTGTCAGTGGTCCGCAACAGCAATTTTTAGTGGCAAATGCAACAACCCATAATTCACACAACAGTTGCTTGTTGTGTGCACAGCCCATTGTGCATATACAGGCCTTGCGTGCATGGAATTCCTTGCAAAATTAGTTTGCAAGTTGGCAGCAACGCTGCCACACACAAGTCTGCTGACACAAACAACCTTTTTATGTATTCTGTGTGGTTTGTTCCAAGTGCTGAATTGTCCTTGAAGGAACAGAAACTGGGCACAGACTGTGCTTGTCGTTAAAGGCTATGTGAGAATCACCTTGCTGCTCTGCAGGGTTTGGCGCTGCTCGACATCTTTCCCAAGAGGGTTACGATGTCACCCTTCTAGATGCAGCACCCAATCCAGGAGGCCTCTCAGCAGGATGGCAGACAGAGCAAGGCAGGACAGTGGAGGCTGGGATGAAGGGATTCTGGTACCAGGTGAACTGATGCTAAGCCACAGATGAAGCAAGTGGTTTTGATGGATTGCAGTGGATACATAGGAGAAAGCCAAACTTCGAAGGGCAACAATGCAATGAGAATTGCATTGGCACACATTGGCACGTCACAATTAGAGATTGTGCCACATTCTCAGGGAGCTTGAAAAGCTGCTCTGTGCCTGTTGGCTGGTCCACAATGTGTCTGCAGCTGCCATGGCCATGGGTGGATTGGGTCAGGAGATGTGCGTTGACCCAGACAGTTCATCTTCACTTTTAGACAGTTCTGTACAGATGACACTGTGTCTGTGTGGTTCTCATCTGATTAGTTTCTTTGGCACTCCCACATGTTCACACATGACATAGACACTACATTCCACCCTCAAGAAGTGTCCATTGCTATTCATAACCCAATGTCTGTACAAATATTTTGGGCCCAGACAAGTCAGTACAAGAGTATGACTCACCGAGAGCTAATGCCATAATCTTTACTTTGCTCCCTCTCCTGCCCACGTCTGTAAAAAACTTAACTCTTTGGGGGGCAGCATGGGGTGGGAGCAAAACAAGATGCAACTTGGGACCAGGGGTGGTACTTCGTTGGTTGGTGTCGCTTAGCCTCTTTGGAAGCATACCACTGCAAGGGGTGCTAAACTTGCAATGGCCACCTTGGAACACGTTGGCCAGAAAGAGCCCCATAAAATTGGTGGCTACTTCCAACCATCGTCACAGCTATGCAACATTACCCCTCGCATAAACTTAGTAACAAGATATCTAAAATTTTATGCACTACACCTGCACATATGCTGTGCCAAGGCTCCAACAGGGAGGCCAGATGAACAGTGTACACAACTCAGAGATGAAAACATGACCAGTTCACAAAGGCTTCACTCCACGTTCCCATGCCATCAGCTGCTATAGTGTGATTCACACCACTTATGTACATATGACCATTGCAAAATGTCAGATTGTTAGGTGTGCAAACATACTCATTGCTGCAGGTGTGCTTCAGGGGCAATGGCTGAAGACATGCAGCATCCTGCTGACAGTACCTGCCTCAAATGTTGCTTTGGAACAGAGGGAATTCAAGATTATGGCCTGTTCATCGCAATGTACCTAAGTTGGTCTCTCCAATAACCATTGGTTCGGGTGCCCTGACTGTCCAGTACCACAACATTTTTGCACTCGCACGAGAACTTGACATCGACTGGCCCTTCACGGAGTTCACCAGGAGTGGTTTTTGGTCTCCGGAGGGTTTGTCGGTGGAAGGTCCAGTCTTCTCACAGCTGCCAAAGCTCCCAACATTGTTGGGACAGTTTGTACACACAACTCGGCTCTTCAGGTCAGGGGATCTTCACTGCACACAGTATCGTGTAGTTCGTTCTGTGCTGTGGCTGCTTCTTGCTACATCTGTAGCGCTGGAGAAATCCCTCACAGCTGCATTTTATGTTTTTGTTTGGATTGATTTTCTGCAAGATGACATTCAAATGTGTTGCATTTTGTGCAGCGCACAAACATCAACAGTAACGACATAAAAGTTCATTTTCATTGTTGACCCATTTTATTTGGGTCTATTGTAGCAAACCATTCTGCTGGCACTCGAACACATTGTAGTGTGCAATTGTGTGCAGCAGAAGGGACTCATCTATCAGAACGCAGACAGGAACGAATGAATCTTGTGACATAGTTGGCTCTTTTCAAACGTCCATGCCCTGATTTTATTGTGCTGCTGATCATTTCTTTTGACAATGCTTATCGACTCTTGGTCTGCTTTGGCTTCCTGTCTGCATTATCTGTCCTCTTTGCTCAATACATAATGGTCCTTGTGCTGTACAGGCGAGTGCCTTTGGCGGATCAGCTGACGATGTTCAACATGCTGTACCCTGTCGTGGATTACGACAGCACACAGAAGGTTTATGAGAAATACGACAAGATGACCGCTAGGGAGCTGTTCCGTCAATTTGGAATATCTGAGAGGTTGTACAACGAATTTCTAAAGCCTTTGCTTCTGGTCGGGCTATTTGCACCACCCGAAGAGATCTCTGCAGCGGCAATGATCGGCACAATGTACTTTTACGGTGGGTTGTGGGGGGAGAAGGCACCACACTCTCTCCCAGATATTACCGCCAATCGCACCTCTTTAGCAGGCTGCTCTCCCCTGGAATCCGATTGGTGGTGCGATTCCCCTTCCTGATGGAGTGAATTAAGCTGCCTTGAACAGAAAACCTTTCCTTTTCGGCGTTGTGCGTTCTATTTGCGTTTGCTGTGAACAGCAGCCTTCTGCTTTCAGGATAGTTCTTTTGCGGATGGGGCTGATTGGGTCCAACTGTGCATGTGGCAGCCTTGGCCCACCAGCAGGACTTCGACATTTGCTGGTGCAAGGGTTCTGTGTCGGAGCGACTCTTTCAACCGATGGTGGAATCCATCAGAGCCGCTGGTGGCGTGGTGCAAGGAAGCCGTGTGGTTGTTGGGGTTGACATCGACAGCGCTGGCACCGTAGAAGGTGTGGTCGTTAAGGACACAACGACGGACAGAGAATCTCGAATCGAGGTGGGAAAGCGTGGCCACTTGTATGGCCGTCTTGTGTAATCGAACACCAATATCGAACGATTGCTTTTCTTTTCAGATTTGCAGTGGATGTAGACACAAAAGTTTCAGACACCTCTGGAGAACTTGGCGGGTGCCGAATTCAGAATTTCAAGTGACACGTGGGGTGTTTTGCAGTGTTTTGCATACACTCTGCGAGAATCGCAGGAATCTTCATTGGTGAAGTGTCCCATGTCTTGGATGTCGAATAGGATGTGGTGGCCATATTCTGGATATCTATGTCCTGGACATCCATGATATGAGGCATCCATATCATGGCGAGGATATGGCCATGTCCTGGACACGGGCGGCTACGCATTGGGCATGGCAATAGCCTGGATTCAATTCGATTTCATTAGCATTTTCGAACGAAAATTGCCAGTTTGCAGTCTTGTCTGGATTATGTGGCAGCTGGATCACCCCTTTCATGTTTGAAACGCACAATTTAGCGCCAATATTTGCATGCCGCTACTCTCCTGCCAGGCAGATGCCGTCATCCTTGCCATCAGCATCAAAGGCATGCAGAAACTGATTTCCATGAATTCCATCCTGGCGACCCGGCCCGAGTTCATCAAGATCATGAACCTGAAGGGCATCGACGTCATCGCCACGCGGCTGTGGTTCGACAAGCTGGTGCCAACCCAATTTCCTTCCAATGTCCTCTCTGGCTTTGAACAGGGCGTTGGCGGCACGTTCTTCAACTTGAACGTCCTGCAGGTGAATTGAAATCACCCGATCCCCTTCGATTAACAAGTGCTGTGAAACATGTTGCAGCTTGGTCGAGTGCCTTCCTCGGTGCCCTGTGTGTGGCAAAGAGCCGAGTCCTTGACAGATAGTGTCCACGTCCCTCCGTTGCAGGCATTTGATTGTTTGAGGGGCGGTGAGGGTGTTAGAGAACTGAGTCATTGCCATGCACGAATATCCTCCACGCGCGTTCGGGGTATGCTGCATCATTCTATTTTAACTGGCTGGTATGCTGCTTGGGGCTTGAGATATAGCTTTTCTGATACGTCACTGCTCCTGGACGGGGCTATAAACCTCGCACATGGGGAAGTGTGGCCGGCCTCACGGGCACCCGAAAGTTGAGGGCAATAACATGCTATGCATGCGGCAAAGCACCACTTTCGTTGGCGCTTGTTCGAGCTGATGACCCTCAGTGTGCCGGTCGAAGCTTCCCCGCAAATTTCTGTTGCTCAAGCTCCCCGCAAACAGAGCATGGCAGCGTTCCTGGCGATGCTGAACCCTAGTTGGCCTTCCAGGACGAGTACAAGGACTCCGAGGGGACAGTGATCGCCGCAGACTTCTACCACTCCAACACGCTCATGCCCAGGACGGACGCGGACGTCGTCAAGCTGGTGAAATCGTGCCTGGCATCCTGCGAGCCCGGCTTTGAGTCTGCCAATGTCATCGACAGCAAGGTCCTGCGCTTTTATGGCGCGGTCACGCACTTCAGCCCGGGCTCCTACGAGTCCAGGCCCAGTCAGAAGACAAGCTTCGATAACCTGTACCTGGCGGGAGATTGGGTGAGGGATGTGCCACACGGGGCAAATGGGCTGTCGCAGGAACGGGCGTACGTCACGGGCCTGCTGGCAGCCAATATGGTGATTGACAAATTGGGCGCGGGGAGGCCGGCGACCATCTTGGACGTGGAACCCGACGAGCCCCACATTGCTGCACTGAAGGCGGTTAACCGAGGGCTGAAGTCGCAGCTCGAAGGGATGGGTTTGACATCCCCGCTCATATGATTTGCCGGTTGTGAAAAACAATTTAAGCGCAAATAAACAACCGCGATTTTGGAAGCAGATACGCCGGGGCGGATCACGCCACTTGTGTCGATTTCATGTCCACGAGCTCAGCGCCACGGTGCAGCCGGGAATGGTCCTCAAGATAATCCAAGGAGAAGTCCGAATCGAGACAAGACGTGCCAGTACTCGCTGGCGCCCTGCCCGTCGTCCCCTGCAATGCGGAAATGCCTTACTCTTTGCTGCGGAACGAAGTGCAAATACGGCGGGGTGCGGCTACGTCGTTGTTCCCGTTTGCGGCAGTTTTTGCAAAGCGTGATCAATCCCATGCAGCTTGCATATCCAACCGTGTTTGTCATTGAGTTCCTCCCAGCCCGATTTCTCACACTTGATCAGAAATTTCAAAGTAAACTTGATCCGTGTCTCTTCAATGTCTTGCCCAACTGTCTGCTTGACTCGCTCGGTAGCAGGCGCCACTGCAGACGCTCAAGGTGTCCTCATCGCCATTCTGGGAGTCACAAGAGTTTGTTGAACACGAAACTCACCTCGCCATGTGAAAGTGCATGGGGACTCTTATCGCTGAAAGAACTGCACGCTTTCACCAAACAGCGCTCAGTGCCGACAGCGACGATTCTGAGCTTTAGGAGGGCGCCATGAAATGAGCAACACAACCCTTCTGCATGAACGGTGGAAATGCTGGCCGCAAGCTGACCACCCAGAAACAGGGGACCCATCCACCGCTCCGGCAATACCATCAAGTAGATTTTTTTTTTGCAGCCACATGAAACGAATCCTATCCGCGTTAGACATCAAATGTGCCACAGCACTGGCCACAATTGTTGCATACTGTCTGGGCAACGAGGGAATAGGGGCGCAAAAATCAGGCGCAGTTGTGCATGCGTTCATGGCCGATGTGGTTCCTGGTTTGTTCACTTCCAGTCAATGCTACGCATTTTCTTTCAATGGCTATGGCATGCTCTATCCCAAAGAGACCAAAACCTCGCGTGGCATGTTTCACATTTCCAGTTCCCTATCCCTCGCCCGGGTGACCCTTGGTTCCATCGCCGCGCACCATGCCGCATGTAAGACGTCAGCACTCGATCCAGAGCTCGTGCATTATCCCCATGTGGGACCACCTGCCAACCCCTTGCTGCACCTGCTTGCTGCGGCGCCGAGTATTCTTTACCTGGTGAGGTATTTCTGCCTTACCGGTCTCCTGAGCCCACCCCGTCATGTACCCCCATGACAATAATTACAAACAACCGTCAATCGTCACATTCCCGAGGTTCCCGTCCATTAAACTTGCCCATTCGCTTCGCTAGTACTTCAATGCCACTTCAGTGAGTGACTCCCCATGAGTCAGCTCCCTTTCCCGTACTTCACTCCCTCAACTCCCTCACCATCCCACAACTAACCCGAACTCCACTATCCAGGGTGGGAGGGCTGGGTGCGAAACAAGATAAGGAGGGGGACCGAGGGGCTGCCTAAATAGCCGCCCTCCGCCGCCCCGCCAAAGCCCGCCAAACTCGAGGGCGCCCTTGCGGGCGGCACCTCGGAATACCGTACTTTGACTGACCCACGGTACTAGGGGTGGCCAGAAATCCCAAGGAACGGGGTTGAGTAAACCCCAGGTTCAAACTGCACCGTTTGAATCGCCGGTGCAGCCCACCCAACGTCTCCCTTGGCAGAAACCCATTAACAGGATAGTTAACTTCATTTCTGCCTTACCGGTCTCCTGAGCCCACCCCGTCATGTAACCCCATGACAATAATTACAAACAACCGTCAATCGTCACATACCCGAGGTTCCCGTCCATTAAACTTGCCCAGTCACTCTAGGGAATGCGAGGCCCCTCCGGGGCAGAAGATGTGCCCAAACTGCTCATGCAGGTCGCGGGCGGTGATGGTCATCCAACCAAAGAGCCGAAAATCCCACTCAGTGGGTAAACGGAAAATATCAATGTACGACCACAGAGCGTCTGACTTCCACCCACCCCAATCCCGGATGCGCCGCTCCGCGACCTCCAAGGCGAAGCAGCTGGACGCGCCCCCACCGCGCAGGCCATGATGCGTGAAGGGCTCGTGGGCCAGGTCCGGAAAGTGCACGAGCAGGGACGTAAACCAGGAGGCCACCATCTTGGACGAAGGGGTGGCGTCGCCGGGTAGGCGGTAGAAATGGCGCGGCTGTTGGTCCATTTGCGCCCAAGCTTGATCCCGAAAACGAGTCCAGCGGCGCAAAAGGTCGACGACTTCGGGAGCGCCGCGAGAAGGCCATGAGCGATAGCGCGACCGGGGCTCCTCCCCCGGGCGCAGCTTGGTCTTGCGCTCGCGAAAAACCACGACCTCCTCATCGATGCGAACGTCATCGACCAAGATATAATGGCCCGACTGGGCCCTGTTAAAGAAAATGTAGTCGAGGTGGGCCGCACACGCCACCCGAAGGGTGGGCCCGTCCTCGGTGGTCAGGCCGACGTCCAGGATGCGTAGAAGCATGGACACAGGGATCGGTCGGCGATGCTGCACCGGGCTAGGGGCCGCCCGGCGCCAAGCGCGGGTGAGGATACGGGTGACCGGGTCGAAGGCCGAGAAACCCAAATGGCCCGCGACATGATGCATCATTGAAATCGCGGCCAGTTACTGGGGCAACGACCGCACACCCACCTTGCCCTCCTCCCGAAGAAAACGAATGTATCGGTAGATCGACGCCCGCCGGGCGGGCAGCGCGACCAGGTCGTTGGCCTCGCAGAATCGCTGGAAGCGCAAGAACTTGGCCTGGAGCGTCCGACGAGTGGCGTCCATGTAGGATGCCAGAAACTGATGCTCCATCCAGCAGCGATCGTCACGGAGCAAACCGTCCAGGTCGGTGCCGTACAGGGGGTCATCCTCCGCCAGCGGCTCCAGCGGCAAGGCATCCCCCGGATGGTCCCCCGGCGGAGAGGGCAGAACGTCCGGCGGGATCACGCCTTCCTCCGATTCGGTCTCAGATGGCGCGTCGTCCGCGGGCACACATGGAACGCCCGTAGGTTCCACCGCGGAGGGGGCAGAGACGCCGGGAGAGTCGGGTCGCCGGGGAGAAAAAGGTCGGCCTGGCGGGGGATGAACATTTCCGCCCGGGCGATCGCTCGGAGCGGGCGAAACCACACCGCGCTCGGCCAGTCCGGCGCCAGCACCACCGCCTCCAGCGTCTGCCGTAAGGCAAGGAAGGACACGAGCTTCGCGAGGAGGCTCCACGGGGGATTGCACCAGGACCTGGTGCCGCTCCAATCCTGCTGGAAAGCATCCACTCCTGCCGTACCGACGTCCCAGTACTGACTGTTGAAGCGGGCGTAGAGGGCATTCCGGGCGGACGCGAATCGGTCCACAGAACAGGCCCCGAAGCTGCGGGTGACCTCCCGGAATATGCGCGGATTCAGGCGGTAGTCCTCCGAGGTCCGTATACGGGAAAGCCGGTCCGGCAGTACATTCTCGGCGGAGGGAATGTACTCCGGCACCAGGAGAATCCGGCATGCCGTACAGACGGCCTTCAACTGGCGGAGGGGCCTCAGGAGACTGGTGGCCCGGGTAGTCATGGAAAGGATATAGTGCAAGACCACCTGGTTGTCCACCAACAAACGGACCCGCCGGGAAGTCGTCCCGGAGTACTGGCGAGGAAAGAAACTGAGCAGTGCCAAGTACACGGCCTGCATTTCACGAACATTAATGTGAATAAGGTCCCGATCAAAAAAACCCCTCGCAAGCATGGGGGCCGGGTGACCCAAAGGCTGAAAGGTCGCTCCCCAACCCGTCAGGCTGGCATCCGTCGCCAGGGTACCAAGCAAAGGCAACGAAGCCGGTTGGAGAGCCCAGCCGGCAAGCCTGGAAAGGTTGGTCCAGGCCAAAAGGTCCAGGCGGGCTTGGGGGGTCAAAGGAAGCCGATCCCGCCAAGAACGCTTCCCTCTCAATAACGCATAGAGACTCATCAAGAAAAAACGGGCCAACGGAAAAGCCAAATAAAGGGAGATGGCAGAGCCACAGAATTGAGCCAACTTCCGCACCACGACCACACCCGAATGGAGAATGGCACGAGCACGGGATGCAATGGCAGCTGCCTTGTCCGGAGGCACCAGAAATTGGCACCGGGTGGTGTCAATAATCACACCCAAATGAGTCTTCCGCTGCACCGGCTCCCACTGGCACTTTGAGTGTTTGAATTCAATCCCAAGAGCATGGAAAACCCGTTGGACCAGACTGGACCATTCCCCCAAACGGACCGGATCAGACATGGCGGCAATGAAATCGTCCAAATATGCTAAAATTAACGCGGGAACCTCCCGCGAGTACTTTAGGTAGTACTGTACAATGGAATCATTGCCCGCTAAACAGCCAAATCGAAAACGAGTTCCAGCCCCTGGACATGCATTAGGGGTCCTTAAGAAACGGACCACAACGAGCATGACATGAGTGAAATAAAAGGGGGCCAAAGAGAGCCCAAAGGGCAGCGCCCGACAAGCGAAAATCTCGCCACCCATTCGAAAGAGCAAGAAATGCTCTTGATCGGCTCGCATCCGAATGTGATGGTAAGCATTCTTCACGTTGAATCCCACCAGAAAGTCATTCTAATGCAAAAGAAACCTGAAATCCTTCAAGCGCTCGTAGCGGAGACCGACCTTCTTGAGATGGCGGTTGATCCGCCGAAGATCGATGACCAAACGGTACTTGGTCTTCCCGTTCTCCGCCGGCTTGGCCACCAAAAAGGCGCGCGAAATTCGGGCGCTGGAAGAGACCTCCGTCCGGTGGATCGCTCCCGTCTGCAGGTACTCGTCGCGCAGCTCCCGCCATGCTTGCCATTCCGCCGGGTCCCGGAGTGGGTACTCGCCTTGGTCGAACGGAGGCGGAGGGCCCCCCGGGCCCCACTGGAGCGGTGCCCCCGTATGAATCCATTGAAGCACTCGGGCGGGGGCGCCGATGCGGCGCCAGGCCGCGAGACGGCCTTGGAGGCGCGCGTAGGGGGGGGCTTCTAGGCAGTCGGCTTGGGAGGCGCTGGCGGGGCGCCGGACGTCTTGGGTTTGGCGCGTTGATGCTTGGCGCCGGTGGAAGGACCGCTGAGGGGCGGGGCTGCGGAAGCTTGGCGGTTGAGTTGCGCCTGATGCTGAGCCGCCGCGGACTTCGTCGCCAACTTGAGTTGTTGATTGAGGACCTCCTTGTGGATGTGCTCGAGGGGCTTGTCGATCAATGGGTCCCAGAACCTGCGATGCACGGCGCCCAACCGTACGTTGGTCTGAAGCGCCTTCCACAGACCGTCGAGGGAGGTGCCCTTCTGCTCGCCGTGGACTTGCTGAAGTCGGATCAGGCTCTGAAGACGCGACGTGATGGTCACTTGGGCGTGGACGTACGGAAGGAGGGCCTCCCGGAATTCTGGGGGGAAGGCCGGATGCGCCACGAAGTCGATCAGCGCGGCAGTAAGGTCGAACTGCCACGCGACGTAGGGGGCCCAGTTCTGATACTCCTGGAAGTACCCGGAGTTGGCTCCCAGGGCCTGCGCGAGCTGCCGCCTTCGGAGGTGCGGCGGACGTCGAGCCACTTGGGGAAGCGTACGCCCGGAGGTCGGACCACCGGGTTGGTCACCGCTTGCGGTAGGAGCCGGGGGTCGGACAGCCAGACTTCGTCAAGGGAAGCCGTAGGCGGACCGTCGTTGAACCGAACCGCTTGGTCGTGCAGCCACTGCTCGGCTGGAGAACGGTTCATAGAAAGGACTCGGCCGTAGCCGGAGGGACAAGGCAATCGGTGCCTGCGGGTTGTGCCAACGCAGTGGCGCGAAGCGAAACAAGATAAGGAGGGGGACCGAGGGGCTGCCTAAATAGCCGCCCTCCGCCGCCCCGCCAAAGCCCGCCAAACTCGAGGGCGCCCTCGCGGGCGGCACCTCGGAATACCGTACTTTGACTGACCCACGGTACTAGGGGTGGCCAGAAATACCAAGGGACGGGGTTGAGTAAACCCCAGGTTCAAACTGCACCGTTTGAATCGCCGGTGCAGCCCACCCAACGTCTCCCTTGGCAGAAACCCATTAACAGGATAGTTAACTTCATTTACAATAGAAATGAACAATTTGTGGCTCACGAATTTTCCAAAGGCAACCATGTCCGTTTCTACATGTCCTACAAAGATGTTTTGACAGCTTTTTTCTCGAGCGTCCAATACTTTGTGAATGCAGTTTATGTTTATGGCTTCCGTGTCGAAGTGGGCACTCCTGTGGTGGATGCTTCAGCGATTCGCCAGAGCGTGTAAGCGAACTACATTCGCACCCCCTTACTGGGGAAGAGGGTACCATTAATTGCCCATTAATCTGCTGATCTATGGGCAAGGTTGTTCTTTTATGTCTTGGCCCTCACTACTCCTCTAGGCCGGCAGCTTGTGTCTCCCACCCAGGTTTCCATCGCAACCCCACAGCACCAAAATAATTCGTCCTTGCGGCCCGCTCCCCAAGGGCCCAAACCATGTCGAACAAGAGCATTCAAAAATTGCCCGCAAACCATGTTTACCAGTGAAATGGTATTCAAAACAAGGCTGAGACAACATGATTTGTGTTCCATGTGGACATAATTTGAAGTCATTATTTTGCCTTCCGTGGAAGCTAGGCTTTCGGCCATTCATACTCACCAACGGCTGCCCACCAACGGGTAATTTAGAAGACAGCTATCAGGTAATCGAACAATCAGAGATTAAGAGAAACAATGTGCGATAGATGTCTGTAGCTCCTTTGGCCACCATATCTGAGCGACTGAGATCGAGCGGTGTGCCAACAGAAAGCAGTCTAAACTCAAGCATCGCTCGAGTGGTGATAGCATCTCAAGCAATCTAATCTCAAACATCGCTTTGGTGACAACCCTGTTGCGTTGGACAACTATACCAACCGTCTTGCTATCTAGCCTTTTACAATCTCCAAGCTCTCCAGTTTAATTGGACCTGTCGGCAGTGGAGAAGCTATGTGGAATGTCATGTGGCCCTCGCTGATCATTGTGCCGCCAACGGCCATTGTGGATGTGCCAAAGTGCATTGTGCTGTGCCTTTGCCTTCTGATCATAGCCGCTAAACAGCAGTAGCGCGCTGTGATGTGCCATTGCTGGTAATGCATGTGTCCCTATGCGGTGGAGCCCGGTGGTGCGCCCGGCGGTGTGGTTTTCTATAATTTGGTTTGGGATTGGGGTGCGCTCACTATCTGGACGAGTAATTGGATGCTGTTGCAGGCGAAACGCGTCCATGGGGGTTCCCCTATCGCGAATATTCACCGGTACACTATGTCCCGTTCAGGGTGCGGGCTGTAGCGTCCTGGTGTCCGGGATGTGGATGTGGATGTGTTACAGAGTGTGGAACGGTTCCTAGGAAGTCACCACTTCCTTTCTGGACCACCCAAGAGGACAGTGTAGCAAAGCCGAAATGTCCCATGACAAAAGAACGCTGGCAGCCGCCAGCCACCAAAGGTGCATAGAACGCAAAATAGTGATGAAGAGTAAATCTAGAAGTCCCACAAATGCAAGGAAAGAATAAAAACACCATACACACAGCAGTACCACACAGAGAAGCAACCCAACGGGATCAGAGTATAGATTGACGACAACAGAAAGCTCTCCAAAGAAAAGAGGCCACACGGCCATGATGTGGATGAGAGAAGAAAGAGAGCAAAGTACTATGAGCAAAGAGAGGCTGAAAGTCTAACCGCAGAGAAGCGTACAGCGGGCAGTCAAAAATGAAGTGAGCCTCGGTCTCAACGGTGGGAGGGCCGCAAAAGGGGCAGCAACGGTCCGAGAAAGGAGCCTGAGAATGGCGTCCCAATTCAACTGCCAAGAAGTGGACCCCACACCGAAAACGAGCCAAAAAGTGCAGCCTCTTAATATCCCGGAAAAGAGAATACCCCCGAAAGCGACCAGGTCGAGAGCGAATGAGAACGTCCTGGTGTCCGGGTGAGACGTTGTTTGTGTGTTGGGTCATTATGCCGGTACACTGCAGCCGCGGAGTCCCGGCTGGAGCCGTTTGGGGCACCGCAATATTTACCGCTCTTGTTTCTTGCCGCCCTGGACTGTGGGGCTGCTGCGATATTCTCCATGTGATTCAATCCGTACATATCCTTTGTGACCTCACACATGCGCATGGGACCCCAAGTCCTTTGTGTAGCTGCCCGGTGTTGCTGCGGCGCAAGGAGGCGAGGACGAAAGGGGAGTGAGAAGCGGGGGCGCGTTGCGTGTGGGGTGACGGCCGCTGGTGTCTTCTGCAATGGCTCCCCACCCATATGTCCCAGAAGATCTGGAACTCCCGGGGTACCATCCCCAGGTGGTTGGTTATGAACTACTGCTCGGCGTCTTCTTCTCTGGCTGCCTAATTGTGGGTCTGGCGACCTGGTGGGCTGCAGGTACATCTGTTGCAACCGAGAGATTGGCAGTCACTTGATTGTGTGCCCTGTTGATGCACAAGCGTTCCTCTTGTGTTGCGACAGTTCATCCTGTTTCTCGCATGCCTTTCTGCTGCTGTCGCGTGTCATCGGTGGCATTGAGCTGCATGTGGAGTGATTCAGAATCCGTTGTTGCAGTAAGCGCTGATTGGGCGTCGTTGTTGTTGCGACGCGCTGTGGCCATGCTGCATGCGGAAGTCAAAGAGTATCGCTCCTTGTCTTCTGTCGACAAAGCATTGTGTTGTCACCGCGCAGCTTTTGGTGATAGTAGCCGAGGCTTGTGGGCAGTATTGGGAACGCCTGAGATGTCTTCAGAAAGATTGGACGAAAATTGGCTGCGTGACCAAGGAAGGAAAATGTCACACAACACCATGCATTCCCCTCTCCTCAAGCTGGTCGACCATGGTGCTGTTTGTCTGTGGCATACTGTTGTCATGCCATGGAATTGTTCCCCGCATTTTGTCAATGTACTGAAAGTCTCCTCCATGCAAGGGACATGTCCAGAGATGATAAGCATTGAGCACCCCCTCAGTCACTGATGCGCTCATCCAGGGATGCTGGTGTGTCTTGCATGTTGGCAAGATGCCGGTGTGTGTTGATTGTGGGAAATGTAGATTTCAGTGCCCAGGGCGTGTTGGACAACTTGAATTAATTTAAATCAACATACAGCACTCACCTCTTGTCCATACCAAATATCAGGTCAGAATTAGCGAACAGCTGGAACCATTTGGCACAATGACTCTCATCAGCTGCATCCTTTGTTGTTTCGCTCCTCAGGTGCCATATGGAAGCTTGGCACAGGGGACAAACTGGTCTGCTGCTGGCTCATCATTTCTGGCCTTACCCACATGGTTGTCGAAGGTATGCCATTCCCTCTCCTTCTATGTGTAAAGACCACCATGTTCCAGATCTGGCAGTGCACAATGCTATTCATGATGGGAAGGATGCACAATGGCAGTGGAGTCGATTTGGTACAACGCACTGTACAGCTGCTGCTGTACAAAAGGCGATTGGGGCAATGTTCACGTAATTCTGCACCTGACATGCTTGACAGTCTCACCCTCTCCTTGGAATAGTCATGAGCTTCTGTGAATTTGGTGTGGTGAGCCATCCTGGTGTGGCAGTCAGTACACACCCTGCCAATAGTTGTTGGTGGCTTCTGGCCTGACATTGTCATCATCGATTGCTGTTCTGCTAGTGGCTGCAGTGCATGGATCGGCTGCCAGACTGAAGCGTACTGAACCTAAGCACATGTCTGTCATTTTAACCCTTGGCTCTTAGTGTATATCATTGAGGGGTTTTATTGCCGCTTGGCAGTCATGTCGTCAGTGCAGATGGTTATCAGTGGAACTTCTCCTAGATAAAACAGAATCTGAAGATTTTTCATGTGATGTTCGCATGGAGAATATGGCTGGTTGTCAGGTAAAATTGCAGGCTGTTGCATTTGCAGTTGAACTTTTGTGGGATTGGGCGTGAGCTCTGGTGGAGCAGAAATGAGCCATTTTGGCCACCCAGCAGCTAACCTGGGCAGTTGGACACATTTAGCAGCAACTCTTCAAACAGAACATGACTCATGGCAGATCCGTCTTTGTTAAGCCTAACTTCCTCTGTCGGAGAATGAATGTTGCGTTTTGAAATGCGAAATTAACAGCATCGCAACTATGCTAAATGTCAGATAAAGCAAACAATTTGAAAGGCCAGGTGCCGAATACATCGGAACCACCGCCTAACAAAATGCTGTAGGGTCTGTGGGAATGGGCGTGCTCTGGGCGATTTTTTGGCTGGGGACGTCGAGACCTGAGAATGTTCGAATCCTCGGCCTGAATCTCACCAGTTTGGAGCCCTGACATGGTCGCCATACTGAACCGCCCTCGAACATTCTCGGAGCGCTTTGCAAATACGCATAGTGGGTGACCTGTTTCATTTTCGAGAAAATTGTCAGCTGCATGAAGTATATGGTCTTATAAGGCGCCATTTAATCCCGTGCAGAGGAACAAATTCCATCAGCAACTGCGGCAATCGCAAAGTACAGTGCCAAAGTTCAATGCCAAAGTACAGTTGGGCTAATTTGAAAAGGATGGGGAAGGACTTGGACTGGGACAGCGAGTCCATCGTCTGAATCAAATGTGGCATGATAGCATTTTTTCAACCATTTCCCCAGGGTACTGAATGGCGCTTTGGAATCGATGTCAATGTTGTAGCCGTGCTCCATTTGTGCTTTGCCTGGATGTCATATTTACTGGATGTCTGGAAATTGAATTCGACACTTTGGCACTTTGACGCTGGATTTTGAAATTGATTTTTCTCAGGGCCTGTTGTGGTGTTCGGTGACTTCTACAAGAGCTCGTCAGGGAATGTGGTGATGGAAATATGTAAGTGTGAACCCTATCTTCCAGCCTTGCGGCTTTCTGCACTGAGAAAGGCCAGCACTGCTTTTGGTCCAGACGGACGGGTTCTCAAAGTCGGCTCTCGTTGTTGTGAGGTCAGTAGTGTGACGGAACGCCATCATGATGCCAATAATGCAACTAGCGTGAGATTGTGCTTGTCCAAAGCTGTCAGTGCGCATTTAGCCTATTTTATGGCAAGGGTGTAACAGAGCGATGCTCTTTCACCCTTGAGGCGAACTTGTCGGTGGCCTTCTCTGCTTTCTGAACTTATTGGCTCTCCAGGGCAGCAGTAGATAAATGGCACGCTGGCCTCCGTTTTGGGATCGTGGGCGCCTGTGATCATCTCTTGCAGAAGCACCTCCCTTGCATCCACAGTCATGAAGGTCGCAATCTCTTTTGATTCCCTTGGCGAAATGCGGCAGGCTGTCCACTGACCTGCAGGTCGATGGCTGCGGATGGTCGCGTCATTTGGGCGTTGGGCCTTTGTGTGGTCGTGCAGGGAAGGAGTACTGCAAGGCCGACTCCCGGTATTGCACCCGGGATGCATGCACCATCGTAATGGAGTTTCTAACCGCGTTCGGGGAGGGACCGGGATGTGTGCTGGCCGCCTATGGCATAGTTAAGCGGAGCTCCTGGAGGCACATGGCAGCCATCCTGGTTGTCGTTTGCGAGCTGTACGGAGATGTACTGTATCTAGGCACGTCCTGGTTCGATGGTGAGTCATGCCCGCAACGGTTTGCTTCAACACATTGCACGTTCTGTGCCGCAGCTGTCTGAATAGTCTCTGAGCGATGTGGCAGCAGGCGCGGTGTTGTGTTTGACGTCAGTGACTGGCCGGAACTCGACCGAAACTGAGAGTGACTAGTGGTAGGACGGAATTTTCCAAGCGGTATGAAATTGCGCAGAGCATTTCTTCAATTGGTGCAACGAGGGCCTTCACGTTGACGCCTAGTGCTGTCGCAACCCCACGACTGCCTGGTTCGAGCCAGTTGCTGGTATAGCGACCTCTTAAGAACATGTTAGGCGCGAAGCGCCAGGATTTTTTGCAAGTCCGCACATAGTGGCAGATGCTGTGGTGTTCACCAGAGCAGAATACTTCCAACACCATTGCCATGTTTGTTCCTTCTGCTGGCATTACGACTGCTGACGAGAGAAGGAGCACGTTTGCATTATGAGTTGCCACCGAAATCTCGCAGCTCGACAATTTCCTGGGTTTGAATGCGAATGCATCCTTCAGACTAGAGTGGGGTAATGTCACACGTTGCATACTTCCACCAGTTCATGCAATTGTCCAATCCTAAACGGCACACGGCCTTTGCCGGCAATTCCATCAATCAACACCAAGATTCCACTGAAGAGTGCCACACATCGCAGGCTCCCTGAGCCCCCCTAGCACTGTAGGGAGGGAAGTATGGACCTGCAAAGTGACCAGTGCTCATAACCGCGCATTCAATACCCTCGAGGTAAATACAAGGAACACTGCCAGCTGAAATGAGCAGGCACCAAACAGTCTGACAGGCAACATACTGCTTTATCCAAAGCAGCGCAAAACATCTCCACCAGATCAATCGCCCTTATGTGTGTGTGGAACACACCCCATTAACACGACAACACGCACGCACACCAATCGCCAGCGCCCCGGTTCTTAAAAACGGACTGGTTTCTTGATTGTGGCGAGGCAAGGACCTGGCCCTCTGTGCCACACACTTCGCTCCTTTTCTCTGCCCGTTCCAAACGCTCGTTTGGGCCAACACTGATGCACATTCCTGGTGTATTCCTGTGTGTATGCTTCAGCCAGGACTGTGGATCCTCTTTTGATGGAATGCACAAGCGACCACTTCGTCATCCCTTCGATGTTGCATAGCCCCGTTGCGCAACTTGCCGATTGTTGTCCTTTCATCGCGCTTGCCGTGACGGAGGAGCACAATCGTGTGCAAGGGATATCGCCCCTGGAGCAGAATGCATTGCACTCATCTGTGTGGTGGAGCGACAATGGAACCTGAGTTATGTCCAAACACTGCACTGTGGATTACAGTCAATAGCAGAACCCCAATAAGTAGCACTGCCATCTGAATGCTGCCAAGAAAAGGAAATCAAGTATTCTATTGAACAGCGATTTTGTTGAATGGGCAGAAACAGTTGTGCATGTTTCTTTCCACAGATTTCAAGTGGAACCGACCGGAACTGTTGTATTTCTGGGGCTACTTCATAGCAGTAAACTCCATCTGGATTGTCGTCCCCTTGCTGGTCATCTTGCATCAAGGCAGGGGCATCATGGCTGCAGTGGCACAGTTTGACAGGTGAGTGGGTGACAACTGCCAGACATCACCCTTGCTGATGTGGTATGTTCTGAAGCATGACTCTGCGGATATTGTCTGCACACTAGCCCTTGTCAGGGGGGGATGCTGTGCTCTGGTCATCTTGCTTTTTGACAGTAGCAGCTGAAGTTTGCCCTCCTGTGCTGTGTATCCCACAGAAGTCAAGCGAAAGAAGATTGATAAAAGCATGGATCGGCCAGCCACACCTGGAGCAAAGAAGGATAACGCTTGACATTGATTACGAACCCATGCCAACATGGTCACAAAGAGCAGTGAAGACAAAACGGCTTGTGTTGAGTCGCCTGACTAGATGTGATGAATCCTTGTGCCATTAGCCAGCCACACAGGAGGGACAAGAGGATTTCGACTGCTGTTCCTTCAATTCGATTTGACCATATTTGAGGGAGTCTGATATGATGAACAAAACTTGCTTCCAGCCAATAACAGGAACAAATTCTTAGCCCTGGCTCCAGATGTGACGGGCCCACCTGCTCAGTTGCTGTCCTTTCCAGGTACAGCACTATATCCCCGTTAGCAGTGGCAACTCGCAGTTGCTGTGCTCCAATTTTGTACGAAAGACCCAGGATTGCGTACTTATCCAACCACTGTACATATTTACAGAGGGCAAGCCCTTCTGTTTCAAGCCATGGTGGGCAGGCACTCTGTCATTCATTAACCTCTGATAAAACACCCCAGACTCTTCTCACCAGCCCCTCAATGTCAACCCGAAAATTCCTGCTATCTTGCACCCTCCCTTCTGCCTCCTGAATCGATGTCCCAGTTTGTGACAAAGTTAACACGCATGCCACGCACATCCACTGTCCCAACTCGCAGGAAAACGACCCGCATGTCACTGGCAAGCAATAGGCCCAAAGGCTGGCTAATTCTCAAACCCCCCTTCCCTCAAACTAAGAAAAATAAATCCTCGTTTAGCAGGTTCGAACGAATGGCAGGCCACTCAGAAGTTCGGTTTGAAATTGTCGTGGCTAGGATTCGCCACCCACAGCATCCAGCAAGGCTCCAATCTGGAAGATGGGGTTACTCGGAGTGTGGTCCTTGCGGCGAATTCAGAGCCAGCCTATGTCCGCAGTACTGGCGGCGACCGTGCACCCACATCCCCAGCCCAGGTTCTCCACTGTCCAATTTCCAAGTTTTCACTACCAACTACTCACGCCAGCCTTCCATGGTTTCAGAATCAAGATTGTCTCCAAAAACGGAGGCCAAAGTACACTGCAACCTGCAACCTACTGGCGGTGAAGGTGCGCACGTCCGGTTGCGGGCCAGAGCTCCCCGCCCTCCATTATCGGCCATCATCTGCCTCCTCTTGCTCCTGCACAGGTTGCTCTGCGCACAGGTTGCCAGTCGCGTTGCCCCGCAGCAGGGCTTCCTGCGCCTGGTAGTCGCTGCCGCAGTACAGCACCGTCCGGCATACGCGCCACAGGGCTCCCTGGCGCTGAATCGCCAGATCCTCCAGCAGCAGCGCGGTCTCATCCAGCATGGTCGCGAGCTGCTCCCCTGGCTGTTCGTCAGGCCTCGTGAACTGGACCACCAAGTCCCTGTAGTTGGAGATTTTCAGCGGGCAGATCTGCGTGGCAATCACCACGCCCGCGAAGGTAGTCGAGCCGGGCTCCTGGTGATCGTAAAACGTGATGTCCAGGTTCACGAGGCCCATGTCCCTTTGCCTGAAGATAAGGTCCTGGAACACGACGTGGGAGCCCTCGCCCCCCACGACAAGCGCAATGCCATTCATCCAATCAATGGATGCCGCAACCGGGCCGTCCTGGACGCCCGCCAGAGTCAGATTTCGACTCACCACCAGCGCCTCTCCAAAAGTGGCGGGATCACACACAACCGAGCCGTTCACGTCGATCCTCGACGTGGCATCGGACGCCAGCGCCTCCTGAAGCCCCTCGCAGTCCCCCACCGTCCTGGCGCCGCCCTCCCCCCTCCCCTGCCCCTGCGCCGCGACGAGCAGCAGCAGCGACCAGCACGCGGCCGCACCCGCGCAGCGCGTCGCGAGTCGCCGGGCCGCCCATCTCATCGCTGCCGGGGAGGCCGCCGCCCGCGGCGGCGCCGATCCTCGGCGGGCGGGAGGCTGCAGCGCTTCAGGCCGCCGTCGCCATGCTGCGCCCGTCCTCGGCCGCGCCTGGCCACCGCTGGGCGCCTCGACTGCCGAGGCGTGGGCCTGGCGTGATGGGAGTCATGCCTCCCACTCACGATGGGATGACACCCACGGGACGTGTGCGCCGTGAGGGTCGGCTCTATCGCTGTGGACGCCATCGCGCAGCGGAGCGTCGTTGACGCGGCGGGCGCGGTACAGTCTACGTCGTTACGTTATGGTGGGGTACAAGCCGTGCCAAGGAGTCAAGAATTACAGTTAATTAGGTGTTGATTATTAAGTGGACAAACAGTCGGGTGAGGAGGCCACACATGGCCAGTGCCCATTTCACCAAGTGAACCCGATGGGGGCCCATGGGGTGTCGCCCATCGGGCGCCAACCCACACGACACGCCCGCACGACACCTTCCCTCATCTCATTGGCCCAAACCCGCCAGGTCACGCGACACGCGACTCGCTACGTTACTAAGAGGAGGCCAGGCGCCAAAGCCAGTTGTCGATGCACAGTACGAGGGGGTGGTCGGTCCTGACGCCATGATGCAACGGTGTTTGTGACGGCCGCTCATTAAATAGCGTCTTTTCATAATACGGTTTTGGCCACCAAAATCACGGGGCAGTTGTGCTTCAACACCCAAGAGCCAAGGTGTCACTGCCCGGGCGAATGGACCATATGCTAACTAAATAACATTCAGTGTCTGGAACTGCATTTGGGCACTCAGAAATGCGTCTGATGCCTTCTCTTTGACAGGAAATGGCCCACCACTTTGTGTAATGCACAACTGTAACCCATCAGCGCATTTTCTGCGCAAACACCAGTTTGGAGCCACAAATTGCACCTCTACACAGATTACATGCACACATACCACTGCACCACATAGCCACAATACAAATCAACCCCGTTCTACAGCCTCCTGACTTCCACGTGCGTTGGAATTTTCACTTTCATGCTCACACCCCTATACACCTCTTTGTGCATGTTGCGGCCACCCTCAAGGAAGCGCCATGTTGTTCTAGCGTGCGCCCTCATGCTGTGGCCCCTCCAAGCTTCTGCTCTCCAGCAAGCAAACCCTTCTTGGGGCCTCTGTGTCGGACGCCAACATCTCCATGTCGATGGATTTTGGTGGGCAGATCTCCGATCACGAGCCATTGATGGTCCACCATGGTGTGTGCCGTGTGGGCCTCCTTCGCTAGGTTGCGCCATGACTTTAGGGCCTTTGCGGCCTGTTAATCCCATGCGTTTTGCCATGGTTGTGCGGTGGGTGCCTTCTTGGCGTCCTTTGGGCGTTTGTGGCCATCCCCGAATCAGACTCAAGGGATGCCTTTAAGGGATCATTAGGCGAACGCCCTAACATTTCTGCCATGGTAGTGGCACGCTCGTTGGGTGACGTGCCCGCCCTCTTGCCCCTTAGAACGTGGGTGCGCAGCCTCCTTGGCCACCACCCCTGACTCGCTTTCTCAACAAGTGTTCCGTGGTGTGGCAGTCTGCGGTGATGCAGGGTTCTTTCTTATGCCCTATACACCTCAAATGTCGCATGGCCTAACGTAGCACCAAAATGCCCACAACCACATGCACACCTATCAATCAGTAAAACACGCTTGTACATCTATAAAATGCACTGGTCTAACCCTTTCAAACCGTTCACTTGACCCTGGAAGCGGTGCACAATCTCAGAAATTGAGGTCCACTGGCGTCACAAAAATGGCTGCGTGATCAAGGCCATTTTACACACTGTTCAAGATGGGGTTGTGTCCGCCGGGTACAACATGACACCATAGCAATAGTCAAGTATTTAAAAGTGTTGTCTAATACTTGAAACACAAAGACATGTTGTAATAGAGCAACGCACGCAGTTCCAAATCCAAAACATATATTATGCAACCAAGCTTCAAAAGCAACATGTCCAGCCCTTTGCCAATGCCCAAACCACAACAAATACACACAAGCAAACTCAACGAATGCTCAGAAAACGTTCCAATACATATCCACTCAGGATCAGGCAACCACTTCCAAGCAAACATCAATGATTACCCCCTTTTCAAGTTCCTATTACAAGCACACAAAATGGGTCCTTGCACCTGCGGAAACCCCTCACAACACATTGCCACTCTTGTCTTGTGTCCCACAACACCCAAGGAAGGTGTACGTAACTCGTGGGGTATTAAAAGTGCAATGGCAATTGCGCAAACATAGAAAAGGAACATGACTTCATACATAGCCACTTTAAAGACAAAACAACCCTTTTACCCTTTTTGTCTTTTCAAAACAACCATCACCCTCTCAAGTTATCCTTTTTCCCACCTGGTCAAACATTCATCATTTTTTCCTTAATAACTAAACACTTTGATCCAAATCAGCGTGGCCTGCACAATCAACCTTGGGTGAAGTGTAAAACACACAACCAACACACAGGGTGAGGGGATTCAACCTACTTTTGACACTCACTCCCTCACCCTTGTGAAGTGCTGAACTTGTTATGGCCATCCTAGCCCATATCTTTTAATGCATGCAAGTGCTTATAGTGAGAGTGCTAAAAGTAACCTTGCATGACACAAGGACTAACATTGTGTCTTGATCCTGAGATCCCACAGAGACAGTACACATGCCACATTAGCTGTTACGCGCACCAGCCTGATGTGGGAGACGTCCTACTAATGGCCCTTGGTGTGGGGGACGCCCTGCCCAAGGCACGTACTATTCCTCACCCAATATAACCTTTATCCATATTAGGATACGGGAGTAGGAGGGGTGGTCCCGCCTAGGTGCCCTGTAAGGACCTAGGTGCCCGGCGAGGCGGGTCCGCGGCTCAAAGAGGGCAGGAACCCCACACCCACATCCTATTCGTAACATTTGGTTTCGGAGCCGCCTGAGGGTGGCGGCCACGCTTCCACCTGGGAGCGCGCGAGAGCACGAGATGCCGGAGCCCTTCCCCGGCCTCCTCCATGGAGGCTGAGGAATCGGAGGGACAAGCCCGGGATGGGCAGGGGGAAGGACAAGCCCGGGATGGGCAGGAGATCGATACAGCCCGGGATGGGCAAGGGTCTGGACAAGCCCGGGATGGGCA